GGCCATATTGGCCAGTCATACCGTCAAGTGAGGGTATATATATGAAAGAAGGTAATCGGATCGAAAGGGTATAAATGAGGGTCGGTATCAGATCATTGTCAGATTTGAGTTAGAAAAGAGTGCGAGAAATGCTGTCTTACGTGTCTGGAGGACAAGTTGCCAATCGTCTCAACCTAATCCAGCACGATGTCTTGGCGCCTGGTAGTTTGTCGTCCAGGGGCTGAGTGGCTAACTAGTGCGTGTCCACTTATACTATTCTTTGCATATCAAATCCTTGGTATGTTTTTGATAGATTATTCAGGATTTCAGGAATGGATAAAGTACAATATACTGATTTCTAGGTATACCCCCTTTATATATATAAAAAAAGCACCCCCTTTCTTAATTATCATATCCTGCCTCTTCAAACAAGCTTCCCCGAACTTGTACTACCGCCGACAGCTCCAGCAGGAATTCATAAAGAATCACCACATTTGTCAGTACATGACCAAGAGTGGCAACTGGGGCATCCTTAGTATCTTCTGATCCTGAGGCTCCCTCCTCAGCAGATGCAGACTGAAGATCCGTGGGCTCAGGCGGGAACGGCATGGAAAGGCGCTGACGAAGAGCCTCAGCGGCCACGGCTCGGGCGTTTGAGGATCCGCGCGAGTCTGGAGGAACAGAGGACTCATCACGATCCCGACTAGAAGGCATAGTGGGCGAATTGGCCGGGTACGGAGACCGGCCACGGGAAGCTAGGGTAGAGGCATCTGGTGAACCCGAGTATGACGGGCGCGAGCGATTTCTTGAGGATTCCGGGTACTCCGAGGGCTCTCGCGATTGGTCCGGCGTCTGTGGGCGACCGTCCTGGTGCAAGAGTTCACGCCGGGCAGCGACCAGTACATCGAAGTCCGGGAGTTGTCGTTGCCATTGTCGGACCTGGTTCACGAGTTGTTGGAGTGCTAATGTCAATGTAGGAGCAGCTGTGGCAGGCCAAGTTGGTGCCTGGTAGGCCTGATGAACGTGTTCAAATCCATCGTCGTTTTCTTCGCGTGGGGTCTCGTATTGGTTGGGATCAACCAACACCCACCCGTCCAAGGAGAAGAGATGTGAGGATGCCAGGCTCATGAACACACCTGTTAAAGCTAGATTGACGATGACGCTGTTCGTAAAGAAAGATTCAAGGCACCCGAAAAGGGCCTGCACTATGGGATCGTCCTGCTGGAGCTGTAATGGTAGTGGTAGCGTCTCCTCGTCTTCATCCATCGAAGAGATGGGCAGACACAGGCGGGATTCAAGGACACATGTCGCATCTGCAACATAGTTGTCATACGACTCATTCAGTGTAGGGTCATCAACGAGGGACGTTCCCATGGTCAAAAGTTGCTCTAGCTCGGCATTCAAAGCGCCAACGGAGCGTTGATTTGCAGGCTGGGTAGGAATGGTATGGATCAGCGCCCGTGCAAATAGATGATGTCTTTGAAGAACAGTGTTTAAAAGGCGTAGTGTAGCTAACACCGTTTGACAGTTCGATGACTGGAGTCCCAGTAGGGCCAAGTCGCGAAGATTGAATAGTGACGGCGATGGTTGAGCCGCTTCAGAGGCCAACGCAGCTAGCACATTGAGGGACTTCCGTCGGCTTGCGGACATGTCCATTTGCTCTTCAGGTTGAGGGGAAGACGCAAGTAAGAAGTGTAATATCCGATGGACCAATTCGCCTTGATCGATTGAGTCGAGGATGCGGCACATGTAGGTCAGCACTGCTGCTGTCGAGCCACCAGCTACATCTGATGATTCTAACAACGAAGGGTACCTGTAAGAGTCAGCGGTGACTCTATCCCAGAGGGAGAAGGATAACGAGTGTACACTCACAAAAGTTGCTCCAAAAACAGCACCTGGAAATGGTCTAGTAACGTGTCGTTCACTTCGGCTGATTTGCAGTGGTCGATTGTATCCTGCCAAAACAACAGATAGGACATGAATGCATCCATTGTTTGATCTAGTGTTGGCTGTAAAGCGGTCTCATGTTTGGCATGATCAGATAAAACAACAATGTGAGGGAGATTATCGTCCTCGGTGGTGGGAGCAAATGACAAGCTTTGTTCGATTAGTATACTGTCTCACATCGATCAAAGAACCAAACTTACTGTCCCAGCTGGCTGTACAATGCACCCAGTCCAGTGGCCATGAGCGTAGCCAGATCACTCTCGATCAGCCACTTCTCTAAGTTTTTAGACCGCGATGCGGTTTCAATGAGGTAGAGCAACCCCGTTCGAGCAAAGTCGCCAGCACGCCCGTCGTGGTGAACATAGTCCACCAGCAGGTAGAACAGAGGGAACTCATCCTTCCGCGTAGCTCCTGCAAACTCCGTCCCACTTGGGGCTTGGGAATCGCTATCCTGGGCGACGGATGATACCCGAGGCACAAACCACGCGGGTAGGATACCAGGTTGCAGACGAATGTTGTTGGCAATACCAAATAGCAATTCAACGAGTCGGCCCTCGATCTCATCCGAAGTCTTCTCAGCACGGCGGACGAGATCCACCATCGCGCGGGCGAACAATCGGTTGTCCACAACCCCATCCACCTCGGCATCGATCAGCGTGTCGAAGAATACCGTGGCTGATCTGACGACTCCTTCATCGTGGAAGGAGAGGGCAAGCTTGGTTACTGTCACAAAGACCTGAGAAGATGCTGCATAGGAAACACAAGGGTGCGGTGCGGGCCCGCGGGCTTCCTCGCTCAGAATCGAATTGAGTCGTTCAACATATGTCCGCGCGTGCGCAACCGATTGTTCGCCAGAAGGAGTATTTGTGGAACGCCATATTTGCTACCAATTGGGTTAGCTGGTGGACTTATGGTAATGGGTATAATCGATACCTGGAGGGCATTGCAGGCGCGTTTAAAGGCAGTCAGCCGTTCCGTGGGCGAGGTGGCCTTGGAGGGTTTGTTGGACAGCGCGCGCGAGCCGCCGATAAGACGAGACCACTTTATTCCATTAGTAGACACTCATAAAGAAGAAAGGGGCACGTACAAAGTCCATTCTGCGAGGACAGCATGATCTCACAGGGTGAAAGTGACGGGGGTCGAGGATTAGTGGAGACGGTGTTTATCGCGCTGATCGCCGCCTTACAACTACAACCATACGGGCCATCAACTTCGAAGATTATTTATACTACATGCATATTCAAGATTTATACAATTACAGCCATACACATTCAAATTCCAACAAAGAAAGATACCAGTCCAGGCCCTGTTCGTTGAATAAAAAGACCGTGCGCATATGGGGGCTCAAGTCATTCGAGCCCCAAAAAGAACCAAGATATTCACAGATAAATGCGCTCCCAGATCTGCCTCCCACTATTTAAACGCCTAAAAGAAAAACAACCTCCATAAATTTATGCGCCTTGACACCCATTCCATCTAGCTGTCGTCAAATCATTTACGGGTCAACCTCAATCACTCTCATCCTTCGGTCGCCGCCCGCCACGCTTACGACGACCCTCATTTTGATCACTCCCGTCGTCTTCGTGTTTCCGGCTAGTGGGTTGGTCGGGGACTTTAGCGATTATGTCTGCCAAGAAGTCAAGCACTTCATCCTTGGCGACGGCCTGTTTGAGATGCGAGGCCGTGACGCGCTTTGAGTTACGATCCTTTGCTTCTTGTGCCGCCTTGGTGACAAGAGAGATCATGAAGAGTTCAAGAGCCTTGGCTATAAAGAAGTGTCTAGTCAGTTATCTCTCTTGCAATGCATAGGGAATATGCGCGAAGGGAAGTGCAAAGAGTGTACTTACACACAGCAATCGGTGTCACTTGGGCAACCTTGCCGACATCCTCATCGGCCTGCATGATGCGCTTAATGCGCGCCACAGGAAACTTGGTCTTTACTTCAATCCCCGCACTTGGAGGCACCGGCGGCATCTCTTCATCCATCTCCGGCGCAGCGGCGGGGACTGGTGCCATTGCGATCGGCTCTGGGATTGGTTGGATTATTTCGGGCATGGGTTGAATTGCTTCGGGCATAGGTTCGGGGATAGGGGTGTGGTCGGACTGAGCAAGACGGCTTGAACGACGGGCCATGTCCGAGTCTGGCTGATATGGTGGAACGTATTGTTGAGACACGCGACTTGGATTTGGGAGTTGGTATGGTTGGTATGAGTTGAAGAAAGGCGATGTATAAGATGTAATTGGACTCGCAAGCGCGTTTTGTTGAGGAGAAGGAAGTGATAGATCAGGAGAGCGAGGCCGATAATTGTCCTCTGTCATGATTCAAAAAGAACAAAATTAAAAAAAAAAAAAATTATAGTGGAATCGCGAAAAAAAAGGTAGGTGGCCCAAGCTCCCTGGAGAGGAGAATCCAACGACCGACTCGGGCGTCGCTGTCCTTTTTAAATTCCCATCGTCGTTTTTTTTTTTGGTAATGTATTTACCGGTTTTGACTGTTTTGGTCTGTTTTTTTTGTTTTTGTTTTTTTGAACGAAAACTAACATTTTTCACCCTTTTTCATCTTCTTCTCTTTGTTATATCCCACACTCTTCTTCTTCATCTTTAATTTTATCTTTTCCCCTTGTTCAAGTTACTTTGTACTCTCCCAGTCTTCTTTTTGTCAGATCCAACTACTCAAATATATTGCCTCTTGTATATCGTAGGTTGACTTCTCTCTCCTTTCTTCCCCCTCCCCCCTTTACTAGGCACCTGTAGAATAAATACCCAAAATACCCGATGACGATAAATCCAAAAACGTCGAGTTGAAACAGATGAAACCATCAGAGTATCGCTGTTCTTCTATGAACGCCAAAAATAACTTGATCTAATCTGAGGGTCTCATCACATCTACACGTCTACAACATACTCCGTTCTCCGTACAATGCACCTTGTTTGTGTGCCCCACGTCATCTCTTAGTTTCCCGCCGGATCTTACTTCGCTCTGACATGTAACTTCGGCGAAATAGTTTTTCCGACCAAATTCAAGCATCAACTTCTACACTTCTTACCGGGCATTGAAGCCATGTCACTGTAGCTCTCTGTCTAGTCAGGGTCATTTAATATCTCCAGCCATCCCCAGCCATGGCGGTGGCGGATGTCCCCGGTCTCATGGACATTGCCAGGTATGGAGTACTGACATGCCGATCAAAAAATTCACGATGATGCTAATGATTCTGCAGTACCCTGGCCCAAGATGAGATCCCATTCAAGCTACGATGTGCCATCTGCAATAAGCTGGCAGTGAACGCATTCCGTCTCCCCTGTTGTGACCAGTCCATCTGCGAGACCTGTATGTTATAATGTTTCATACCTGTCGCAAATCGTACCTAATCTGATCTCTGTTCTAGGCCAAGCTTCCCTTTCTGACACATGTCCTGTCTGCACACATACCCCCGTCTCTCCTGATCTCTGCAAACCCAATAAAGCTCTGCGGACCACTCTCAAGGCTTTCCTGCGCACCGAAGAAAAGAAGCGGGAAAAGGACCGCCAATCTGCAGCGCCTCCAACACCATCTACTATCACGCCTGCGGATACAAAAATACCTGTCAAGGATGCAGCGCCTGATCAAAATGGAGCTGAGCTAGGAATAGCTGTGGAGACCAAGGCACCTGTATCTCCGCATCCTACGGAGCCTGCTGAGTCAATGCCTCAAGAGCTGGGACTAGACACACCAGCCCCAGACACAGTTGGAGAGAGCATTTCAGAGCCAAATGCCCCAGGTTCGGCCGATCAGCCAGCTCAGGTAATTTTATACTGCTATCCTACACTCCAATTTTCTAAACTGACCCTATATGTATAGCCCGAGGCAACTGCCGATCAACTCAACGGCACCGAAGCCGCCCTTGAGTCCATGACTGAAGCTGCCGCAGTCAACGAAACCCCCTAAATGGAGAACCCGCTCCCACTCCGGAGGAGGTTCCTGGAGAATCCGCTACCAACTCGATGGCCCCAAACATGGCCGGAAACTTCCCCGCGATGGGCTGGAACGGAAACGACATGAACCCCTTCATGGCTGGCATGTTCAATTACCCGAACACGATGGGTAAGTTCAATATTACCAAAATTTGACATTTCGATCTTGCTAATCTCTTTCCACAGGTATGCCCATGGGGATGGACCCGATGGCAAATCAGGGGATGTACGGAATGAACATGACTGGCATGGGCATGAACACTGGGATGAACTACAACGGGGGCATGTATGGATCGTTAGGATGGGACGCATCCCAACAGAACAACAATATGTGGCAAGGCGGCCAAAATAAATTCAATCCAAATGCTTTCGCAAATGGCACGGGTCCTCCTTATGGAGGAGAATTTGGCGGGTCTAATATGTCTGCTTACCCTTCTCATTCAGACTACCAGTCCGGCTATTACGGCGGTTATGGTCGTGGTGGATACCGAGGTCGCGGCCGTGGCCAGTTTGGCTCCGGTCGAGGTGGCTTTGGACCCATGCAAGGTCATTACCGTCAGGGTGCTAACTCAGGCTATCCCAGCCAGAACCCAAACATGGCTAATGGTCCCAACGGTACTCCAATGGATGCTCAAGGTAATATCCAAACAAATGAGACTCCAGAATCAGGTGAAACCGCACCTGATATGCCGGGTAATCTAGACGATATCCCGACAGAGGCCACAGATCAACCCCAAGGAATCCCCACCATTGACAGCCTTGATAATCCCGTACCAACTGGGCCTGGATACGGCCATATGAGTAATGGGTATGGCCAATACAGGTATGGCCGGTATGGACAAGAGCGCGGGCCAGGCGTCGAAGGCGCTCCAGCTGCTCCGCGTGCCATGCGGCAGGGGCTACCCAACACCAGCGTACTACGACAGCGCGGCTTCCAGATTCAGGGCCGAGCCAGTATTTCTTGGTGAGACCTTCCTCATTTGTCTTTGTCTTGATAATATAAATGCTAACTACTAGTAGTGAACCCACTGAGGACAATCAGACAAGGGCTACATCCAACGCCCCGTCCCAACGTGCGCAGTCTCGATCTCGATCTCCCTCACAGATTCTAGCTTCTCGCCCCCGTTCACCATCTATCCATGGTACTGAAGATGACCGTGACAGTCGGCATGGAACAGAAACTAAACGTCTAGATCGGGTTGATGAGTTACAATGCAGCACCCGTCACTCTCGCTCTCCATCCCGCACTTCCTCTCGTCCATCTTCGCGACGCCGGCATCACGACAGTGATCGGGAGCGAGATAGAAGAACCAGCCATCGCTCACATCGCTCCCGCCGTCACCGCACCCGTAGCCGCAGCTCAAATCGAAATGGCGATGTCCGTCCCTCTGGTCGCCTAGAAAGGATCGCAGAGAAAGACGGGTCTAATGGCAGGACCAAATCGTCCTCTGAAGCCCCAGAATCGCGCGATCTAGCAAGCCGAATCAGCAACACCTACCGCTCTACCAAGGACAGGGGCAGCCGCCGCGAAGACGTCAGATCACGAGAAAAAGACCGAGATCTTCGCCGCCGAGATCGCGACCGAGACCGCGACCGTCGTGGTAGAGACCGGGATTCCGATCGCGAACGTCGCCGTGATGGCGACCGTGATAAAGACAGGACTTCAGAACGCGACCGAGACCGACCAAGGGAGCGCGATCGTGATCGTGATCGTGAGCGTGAGCGTGATCGCAAGCGCTCTCGCCGCGATCGATCCCCGTCCGCCGCCGGCGGCGACCGTCCCCAAGCCCGTCGTGTGAAACGTGGCGATGAGGACCGTAGTCGGGACACGAACGAAGTCTCAACCAAAAGAACCGAACCTGATAAGGACCCTTACACTCTTGAGCGCGAAGCACGCAATAAGGAGCGCCTTGAACGTGAACAGCAGCACCGTGAAAAGGCCAAGTCTGGCCGCCGCCGTGATAGCCGGCAGGACCGTGTGGTGGCGGGCCGTCGCATCAACTACAAGTATGAAGATGAACTCTGAGCTTGGAGTTTGATTCTTCCCTTCCGTACAAAATCATGGGATATGGCGTCAACGGTTTATTTTTCACTTGTCTTGCATGTTGTTATTTTTCCTTGAGTTAGGATGTGAGCCTGCTCAACAGTAGATATGGGATTTGTGTAGGCTATTTGAAATGGCTTCAATGTTCTTGTGGATAGAGAGAAGGAACCTCCAAATGATGAAAATGAATTCTCCATCCTTATCTCTCTGTCTTGTTGTGATAATTCCTTCAAAAATGAAAATGAATTTCCCCTTGCTAGTAACATGGTCTATCCCTGCTATATATCACGACGTTATAGATTGCTTAATCCCAATTATCGAAGTTTTAATAGAACATTGGAACCAAGTACGATTGACAAAAAGTAGTCCAAATAAATCACCTAGCAACATATTATCAAACTTTATACTATTAGCTTATTGCTATTAACCCCGAGCTGAGCCCTAAAGGCAACCAACCATGGAGGGGCGAGGACGGTAGTATGAAGGATCAATGCCCAGGTGAATACAATCCAAATTCCAGATGCTTATTCTAGGATTGATGTACATAGTTTACTTTTTGAATGTTTCAAAGCTACTATAGAAGTCTGTGCTTCGTTTTAAGTATACCTAAGATTAAACATAACTAGTTAGTTAGTTATAGTTATGATTTTTGTAACTAACCTATCAACTAGTTAGTTATAGTGTTCTAGCGATGTTCTAGTTATTGTATTCATTTGCGCATAGCCATTCTCTCAAGTCTTATTAGGAATCTTCTGTCTTTTCCTTCTACTCTATATGGAATATGGTGTTTTCAGCCAACAAAATCCATGATGGGATGGTCCTATACACAACCATAGATTACCTTAAGAGGACTAGCCATTCCCGCCATTCTCGCCATTCAGTGAACATAATATCCATATTTTGATTTCAATAGGCAAATGTATTGACAATTCCGCTAAAAAGAAACAAAAAAATAACAACTTATCCACACACTGCACCGCCTCATATACGTCAAAACACCGTATGATTTCAATCCGGAGCACAATCTCCCAACAATGAATGTACCTAGATAATATTAGACCAAGCAGTCTCCCAGAGACCGAAATTAGACCACATTATTTAGTTCAGCTTGCTCTTCAATGCCTCAATCTCAGCAGTCAGTGTTTGCATTTGCTGTGCCTGAGTAGCAATCGTCTTCGTCTGTTCGGCAATCAGGTTCTTAATATCTTCGATGTCGTTCTTGGGGATGGAAGTGGTGGGCGAAGGGGTCTCGCTAGCGAGTGATGGGACAGTAGAGGACTAGGATAATTAGCAGCTGATACAAACCGACAGGGAACGGGAAACTTACAACCAAGGTGGGTTGGGGCTTTGTCTCAACTTCCTTTGCCTCAACTTGCTTTGTCTCAACTTCCTTAGGCCGCAACGGGCTGCTGACACGGGGCGAAGCAGACTCGGCAGCGGCAGGGCGAGTGGGACGCTCAGCCGGCTTGGGAACCTCCTCAAAGCTGGAGTCATCATCGTCTGAGACGGTAGCCTCCTCTTCGCCATCGGCAAACTTGTTCACCATGGCGGCCATTGAAGCACCTTGTTCTTTCATAGACGGGGCGGGGCGCGCAGCGGGAGTAGGTTGAGAGACCGGCTCGGGGGCGGCTTTAGGGGAAGCAGGCTCAGGGGCCTTGGGGGTCTCGGCGGGCTTGGGCGCAGGGGCATCAATGGAGCCAGTAGGCTTTTCCTCGACTCCCGACACCTCCTTGATGCCCTCGCCGTCGAATAGGCTGGCCATAGAGATCTTGGGAGGAAGTGCCTCCTTGCCACCCAGCCACTCGGACGAAGACATGGCAGCGGTCACTCCAACCGTGGGCGGGTAGATGTCGTCCTGGAAGGTCTCGGATCGGCGGGGGACGATGAATGAGACAGGTTCGATGTATTGATCGTTGACAGTCTTGTAGGCACGAGCGACTTCGTTGTCATGCATGTTCACGCCACGCTTGGGCATGAAGGCAACTCCTCGCTGGGGGTCGGCAGACTTGTGCTCCGAGAGGAACTCGAACTTGTCGTTCTCAAGCTCGAAGTATCGGATATTTCCGTCACTGTTGGTTATCAGAAATTGCGAAGACATAAGGGTTTAATCATGGACACTCACCCTCGTCCAGCCAAGTATAGCATGTTAGTTCCGTCATCCCAGAAAGGCATGCACACGCCAGAAATGGCGTCCAAGGTCTTGAAACCGTTGATGGGTTCCCGCACGGCACGGATATCCCAGAGCGCCAGCTGGCGATCGCTCATCTTGGAGAAACCGGTAGTCGCAATGCGATCACGCTCTCCCAGCCACACAGCTCGGCTGTTCTTGGCACCGGTGTGGCCATTGGTCTCGTGAGCTGGACGTTCCTGTCGCACATCCCAGATGCGGAGCTTCTTGTCACGCGAGGTGGTGACCAACAAGGAGCCGTTGGCACTCCACGACTGCGACTGCACAATATCGCCGATGTTCAGCGTGAGCTTCGGTGCACCGGCTTCAATATCCCAGATCTTCACGGTATAGTCGCCCGAGGCCGTGGCCAGCACGTTTTCTGCCGCGGGGTTGAAAAGCACGTGGCCAATCTTCCTGCAGGGAGGGGTAAGCATGAGGCGATAACAGGTTTGGTCAAATATTCGTACTTAGGATGGCCACTCAATTTGCCAATAGGCGCGAGATCCTGGATGTCGTCGGCGTCGACTTCAGGTCGAACGGTGAAGTTCTCCGGAACCCGCCAGAGGAAAACCTGGAATCTGTCAGTCGCAAGGCTGATAGCTGTTGTTGGTCGCAATATACCTTGCCGTCATCGGATCCCGAGGCAATCAGGTCGTCATTGAAAGGGTTCCTGCAGGGTTTCAGTTGGTTGCCGCGCGGGAGTTGTGGATTCGAATTCCTTACCAGTCGGTGTCCAAAACGACAGCAGTGTGGCCTCGGCACAATGGGATGCGCTCAGGGAGCTTGCCCCGTTCCTCAAGAGGGATAATCGCAAAAGCGCCACCACCACCTGCTTCCCAATTGACCGCAATGTGTTTCGGGTTGACCTAGATGCACCGTAAGACCGGGTTCGCCAGTTGAGATATCAGGGGTGATGCGGAAGGCAAAACACACACCTTAAGAAGGTTGGTATCCCAGGCGTTTCGGGAGACTCGAAGGTTATCGTAACATTGATCCTGCAAAAGTCAGAAAAGGAGATCGGGGGGTGGTAATAGGAGGTAAGCCCTTACCTTTCTCGTCGATCGCCCGAAGACGTGGCCTGTAACGGTCAGCGGGGAGGCGCATTTTGGATTGTAGACGTAACTCACGATATTTAGAGGAACGAACAAAACGCCCGGACATGATTACCAAGTATTCAAATAAAAAAGGTTAAGCAAACAAAAAGTAGAGTAAGGAAAAAGGAGTAGGTGGAAGAGACGTTGGAGAAGCTCAAGCAACGGGGCTACTGGGGCTGCCGCTGTTTCGGGAATTCGAGTGGAGGCAAAGGCGCCCCACGAATTGTCAACTAATTTTGGAACAGTTTCAGAGGGAGTTAACAAAGAACAGCAGTCAATGTCCTTAGGGTATTGTACTATCTGATCTTTTGTGTGTTCTTCTTTCATTTTGAACATTGAAGCCGTTCATCTTTGGACTTGAAATGATCACGTGCTATTTTCAAATACAGTTCTTTTGGTAATACCAATACAACAAAGTTGATGCTATTACCTCATTTGGATTAGCGTCATACACCTACCTGAGTCAGCAATTCTTTGTTTACTTTGCATTTCGTCCCTCCAGAAACCAGTTTGCGCTCATTTGATGCTCATACTTCCAAGGTTACTGCCCAGACCATCCATTGGTATGCCATCTACCTTCTGATTTCATCTCAACTCGCTAACTTGAAGTCTCAGCGGCCAACACAGACAGTGGCTGGACGTGAGCTCCTCCTTCTCGCCCGGATACTCTATTCGCCGGTAACCTGGCGGTCAACAAATCCCAATATGGAGGGTGAAAACAAAGTGAATACCCCACTTTGAGTTTCTGTTACATTAGAGGATATGGGAGCATAACTAACCATCTTCAGACCAGAACCAGGTCGTCCACTCGGACGCGCCTACCACAGGCCGGCCTACGGGAGGCCACCTCCGCGACGACCAACTCGCGCTCCGGCATCATGGCGCCAGGTACAATCGCAAACAAGGCCATGAGCATGTCGCGTATGGAAGACACTGACTCATTGGCGCAACATGAACTGACAGCGCCAGAAGCAACCCGTCCAAAAACCGCAAACCCGGAAACGAAGAGACCTGGATCCGTCACCCGACAGCCTAGTACTACGACCAGGGCGCATAACCGTGGTAGCTCGTACTCGTCTTCCACCGTGTCCCGGCCGACCGCACCTCCTTCTCGTGCGACCAATGGCACCTTTTCCTCAACCGTCGGCCCCGGCACGCGGCCAGCATCGGCCATGTCCCGACATCAATCATCCTTCAACGGCCGCAGACCCGTTGGCGCATCGATTCCGCGCGCAGCGAGCGCGTTGGATACCCATATGGAAGACGTCTCTCCCAGTGTGCTAGGAAAAAGAAAGGGTATGCCGCAATTTCCCTTATCTCCCACTCGTATCCCTTCTTGCCCCGTTGGAACTGTGTCCCCCGGATTGGATGAAGGTTGGAATGGGGTTGGCGAATTGGCAGCTCTCTCCCTGTCTGAGAAATCTGTCTCTTCCCCAAGTCCTTCCAACCAAGCAACTATCCCCGTGTTGCCCAGTACCCCATTTCGGAATGTTTCCAATGTTACCACCCCAAAGTCACTCGGATATGCCCAGCCCTCCTCTTCCTCGTCTTTTTTTACCGCCCCTACCGCACCCTCCAGGACCCCATCACATTCCCAGCGGCGCATTGTCAAGAAATCCTCCCACCCCGCGTTTTTGACCAAAGGTTCTTCGATCAGAAATTTTGACAATATCTCAGGCCCGGAATGGGATCAAGCCTCCCGCGAAAAGAGCATGGAGGGATTGATGCAGACTTTTATGGCTCAGGTAAACCAACAAGGCCAAACAAGCTCTGGTCTGAAGGAGTCGGTTGATATGTACAAGTCAAGAAGTAAGTTTAGTCGGATAAGGGCTATATTGAAACCAATCTAACCCTTTCGTCCAGTCAACGACCTCGAAACCTCTCGGGATGAGTTGAGAGAACTCAATATTACCCAGCGCGTGGAATTAGATACCCTGCGCAATCAGCTACGTACGGCAGAGCAGGCGCGTAAAGAGGACAAGCGAGAGTATGAAATCGCCATGGATGATCTTGGCCAGCGCCAGCGCATTGAATTGGATTCGGTCCAACAGCAAAATAGAAGAGAAATTGCCACAATCACTGACCGACATCAAGAGGAGGTCCGCGACCTGAAGCGACGATTCGATCGTGAGATTGAAGACGAAAAAGCAGCACGACTAAGCGCGCTCGGGAAGCTAACTTCCCAGTCTGCACTTGATACACAGAAGTCCCAAATTGAATTGGAAAGGAAGGACCGCGAAATTACAACATTGCATGATGGGCTACAGACCCTGAAATCGGAACTCGATCGCGAACGAAGGATTGTGCACGAACTCAAGCTCAATCTGGATACCACAAGCAGCAACAGTGTTACACTGGAATCATCAGTTCGTGCTCTTAAGGCACGGATTGAGTTCCTTGAAAGTGGGCGGGAGGAACAGTCCAAATCTTTTGAGCGGTGCAACCAGCAGATGATGGACGCATTTGCCGAGACAGAGGCAATAAAGGAGAAGCTGCGCAGGGAAGAAACACTCCGGCGCAAACTTCATAACCAAGTGCAAGAGCTCAAAGGCAACATCCGCGTGTTCTGCCGAGTTCGCCCCTCACTTAAGAGTGAACCTGCCTCCGATCTTACCCTCATGCAGTATCCCGATGAAACTGATGATGGGAAGGAGATTAATATCCTTGGCCCCGAAGAGAGGAGCAGCCTTGGAACAGTTAACCGGAAGAACAACACTTTCTCGTTTGATCGTGTATTCAATCCATCCACCCAGAACGCCGAGGTTTTTGATGAGATTAGCCAGCTTGTTCAGAGCGCGCTGGATGGCTACAATGTTTGCATTTTCTGTTATGGCCAAACTGGTAGTGGCAAGACGCATACAATGTCATCGGCCGATGGCATGATTCCTCGTGCTGTTCACCAGATTTATGAGACCGCGCAAGGTCTAGAAGAGAAGGGTTGGCGGTACTCAATGGCCGGTAACTTTGTCGAAGTTTACAACGAAAACCTCAATGATCTTTTGGGCAACCCGGATGAATTGGATAAGAAGAAGCATGAGATTCGCCATGACATGCAGCGGGGCAAGACTACTATCACCGACATTACAACTGTCAATCTGGATTCTCCCGAGATGGTTGAGACTATTCTCAAAAATGCGGATGCCAACCGCTCGGTAGCAGCGACCAAGGCCAACGAGCGCTCCTCGCGGTCTCACTCTGTCTTCATTCTCAAGCTCACCGGCCAGAACCACATCACTGGAGAACGCAGCGAAGGCACGCTGAACCTCGTTGACTTGGCAGGAAGCGAACGTCTGAGCCACAGTGGGGCGACTGGAGAGCGTCTGAAAGAGACACAAAACATCAACCGTAGTCTCAGCTCTCTAGGCGATGTGATTTCTGCTCTCGGCCAAGGAAAAGAGGGAGGTCACATCCCATACCGGAACAGCAAGGTATGCTTCTTTTACAGTTATTTCTTCGCTAGGTACTAACTCATTTTCTAGCTCACCTACTTGCTCCAATTCTCCTTGGGTGGAAACTCTAAGACTCTCATGTTCGTTATGGTCAGTCCTCTCCAGGCGCACATGTCGGAGACCTTGACTAGCTTGAAGTTCGCCACCAAAGTACACAACACCCACATTGGCACCGCAAAGCGACAGGCGCGTGTTCGTGACGCCTGATTATGATGATACCTGATACCTCTTTTCCATTCTTGAATATATTTTGTTGGTTTCCTCTATTGGGGTAGGGGTCTTTAACGATTCTGTCCTCTACCCTGGCGTCTTGGTTGGACTATTGATGTTTCCCTCCTTTGGCAAGCCTTTGGAGATATTCGGTTCCTGCCTTAGCATGTGATTTACTGTATGGACAATGATACATTTGGTTTAATCAATGCACAGTAGCAGACTCTTAACGTTTTATCTGTTTGGTTTACATTGCGAGAGATATGCTAGTTTTTTTGAATGAATCCACGGATATCTGATATGGTCTGTTTCCTTCTCTCAATCCAAGGGAAATGACCACATTCGCCATAGGTAATCACTCGGGCATTTCGAATATCCTTTGCTGTCCGTTCCGCAATCCCTATCCCACAGATCATATCTTCACGGCCGAATATGATGAGTGTTTCTGCCTGTACATCACCAAGCCTCTCCACCATTTGCATTGGATACAGCAATTCCTTGTCACATCGACCCTGGGATTGGTAGCACCAAACTGAAAGCTTGCCATTGCCAATATCATGCAGAAGCTCTGGTACGTACTGCTGAGGATTGAAGAAATACAAAGGCCACATGCCTCGCACCGACTCTGTAAATTCCTCGTCGGATCCAGTCTGTCGACCCATCACACTGTCCCAAGCATCCTGGTACCGAGGATCTACGCGCGTCGCTTCGAGCTGCAACAATCTCTTATCCTGAAATCCCACTAACTGGTGATCGAGAAGAACGAGCTTGTCAACACAACTGGGATACATTTCTGCGTACCCTAGCGCAATCGCTCCGCCGTTCGAGTGGCCTAGTAAAACTGGATATTGTTCCAGATGCAGGTGCTGGCGGAGATCCTCTAAGTCGGAGGCCAAATCGGGCATACTGCTCATTTGAGATGCTAGTGGTCTGGATGATCCACCCGTTCCACGAGAATGGAAGAAGACGACAGTATACCCGTTGGTATTTGCGGTATCGGTGTGGTCTTGCGGTCTCCATAATTTTTGTAGTCCATTTTCAAGATACTGGGATCCTAAGCCCCAGCCAGGGGGTTGAACAACAATTAGATTGTGTGGATCTTCGTATTCGGTGGATGGACGATGCACGATATATTCAAATATCAACTCTTTTGCTGGAACACTGAAGGTGTGGATTCCTGAGTTGAGTAATTCAGACATTTGGAGAGAGCTTGAGAAGCAGGATCAACATCCGAAAGCTATGCCAGGTACATCTGCAATCGAAACCCAGCATCAAACTGTGACGTCATTCGGAAGAGTACTACTACATTGTAAAAGCAGAAGTAAACTGGAATGAGGAATAGAATTTCTAGCTATAGTTGACCAAAGTATCTGTCGGCCTTCTGCTTTACCTGTTGGGCCTTCTGTTGAATAGCAAAGGCGTCCAAAGTCCCTTCCTCGCAGATATACCCGTCTATGAGTCTAGCTGGAACCCATTCGAAGTAGATATTCTTAACTTCGACTGCATAGTTGGTGTTTTCTCGACCGACCTCGATCCCCTCGGAAAGAATCTTGACTCCTTTGATGCCGCCGTCAACCCAGCAGCCCACCAGCTCTTTAGGATCGTTCTCTTCGTGGCTATGATCGCTCTCGGCGCCAGGCTCAGCCACCTTCTCCAGCTCACTGACAACCAAGACTTTGGCGGCAGGACAAACATGCCTGGCACTCAGAATAGCTGGCAAAGATCCAGTTTTATTGCTCACCGAGCCTGTGTCCGAGATCCGGTCTGATCCAAGCAGGACTAAATCCACTTCCTTGCTGGCAAGAGCGGCGGATGCATCGGAGTACACAGTTAGCTTCAGATGTCGATCGGAAGACGGGGGAAATCTTGACTGAAAGGCAGAGAGGATCGAAGATGCCATATTAACTCCTTCGCATAGCGGACGGGATTCCAATATTCTAAGGTCCAGATTAGGAATTGGAAGGGATGCGAAGGCCTCCAGAATACTATCCCGGATGGTAGAGCTCGCGGAGAAGGTAAGGATGACGAGAGAGGGCGCAGGCCATGAGATTACTGTAGGTAGGAAGTTGCCTTCGAGGTAACTCGCAAAGGAGCGTTTGATACGCATGGGCATATCCTTGCGCTTGTCCAAATGGTGGTCGAGCAAAGCTAACAAGCGCTCCAATTTGATATTGCGGTCGAGTATGTCATGTACTATCTCTTCCATGTCGGCCAACAATCCCAGAAATGCATTCAAGGTGGCGGCGCCCATGCTTTCTCGTCCATTTTTCCATAGATGCCATGCAGCCATGCGAGCCATTTCCCACCACTTTGTGTCTATATTATCCTGCATCTGCGCAATAACGTCCCGGAAGGCCCTCAGCGCAATTGAGGTCAACTCGTGCGATCCACTCTGATGATCTGCCTTCAGTTCTGCCAGGCCCGCTGTGAGTGCCTTGCTAGCGCCCTCGTTCATGTCACTTTCAAACCAGACTCGTCGCAGGCTTTCTTTCAGACGTGGTACGCCACCGAATTTCTCATCATCCTGGATTGTATCGGGACTGTACCACTCCCAGCTTTCATGCTCCCAGTCAATTTGGATACCTTCCTCCCCGCGACCACCTTCACGGGAGTCCTTGAGTCGGAATAGTAATGGGAAAACGGTCCACTGCCGACCGACCGAAGCATCACTAAAGGTGTATGGTTTTCCCTTTCGCCAAAGGTCAATATCTCGTGGGGTAAGACTAGTCTCCTCTTTCAATTCGCGCCATGCTGCTGTCTCTGGTGTTTCATGACTCTCTATACTGCCCGAGATGGGAGCGAGATGGTGTCTTGAGAAGTCAGTCAATTTGATAGTAAAGCGGGGTTCTTAGATACATACTGGTATGTGCTGACTTTCTCACTTCGCCGAAATAGAGCAACTTTAGTTACGCCTGAATCTGAGCAGACAAAAGAGGATACGACTGATCTCTGCTTGAGCTCGGGATTAGTCTGGTTCATCTTGCTTTTGTTGGAAGTATAGGAGTATAAGGAATAATCAAGAGAGTAATAAGAGACGATAAACATAAGCTCAAAGTTTCGGCTCGGGATATCCGCAACGCCGTCACCATCGCATCATCGCATCATCGTATTATCGCATTAGCAAGAATCTTGGAAATCATTTACTCGGCGATGGGTTTTCATATAAAATTGGTCTTGAAATTCTTGACATTTTTGACATTCTTTACATTCTTGAAGAGCCAATTCGCCTCTAAGTGTCAATGACGTCATTGTTGGTAATATTCTACGAATATCAAACATTGAATTGTTGAATTGATACAATACTTCAAAATGCCCACTCTCACAGGATCATGTATTTGCCGGAATATTGAATACGAGCTAAAGCTTGCTTCGATTGACGACGCGAGAACATCTATCTGTCATTGCCGCAACTGCAAGGTATATACTCAAATATGAACGGGGCATCTCATTTCGCTAAACTGAAATAATGGACCAGAAAGCTTTTGGAACTAATTATGGCTTGACAGCCAAAGTCCCAAAGGATACACTTAATCTCACCAAAGGGATACCAAAAGAACATGTCGCAGATAACGGATCTGGAGCTGTGATTCATCGAGAATTTTGTCAAAACTGCGGTAGCTTCATCCTGGAATATGGGGTATGTTGGCTTTGTACAATAGGTACGGGATTTCTCTAACACAAAAACCAGGATGCTGCCAAAGACCATTTTCGCTACGTCTGTGTCGGATCCTTGGACGACCCGGAAGCATTACCTCCCAAGGGGGAGTTCTTCTGCAAGGCTCGGGCGAGTTGGATGCCGGAGATTCCGAGTGAGTTTAGTATGCTGGCCTCCTGGCTCTTTTTAGCTCTGACAAATATACATAGATGTATTCCACAAGCAGACGGTAAATGAGTAAGGAGTAACGAAATGGATGAATCTTTGCTAGGTTTTTCAAATAACTCGCTTGTTTATATATAGCCATATATATATGCACACATAGTTTCAATATAGACATCATATGCCATCCTCTGTCATGCTTTTGACAACTATATCCGGGGATAACAATTTATTTCGAATAGAGACCCCATTCAAGAAGTCATTACTATCCACCCGGCGATATCCATCTTCTAGCGTCTTCTCAATTCCAGCCCGTAGGTGGCGTTCGGCCAACCGGCTCCTTGCTTCTAGCGGATCAGAGTCGACGAAGACGCGATAATCGACAAGTCCGGCAAGTTCACGCCAGCCGGGATCATCAAGAAGCAGGTAGTTACCCTCAATGATAATGATCTCTGTATCCGGCGTAATAGAGATCCCATTCTCGACAGGATCCTTCGCTTTGTGATCGAATGTCGGTGCACGAATGACATCCGCTGGCAACCATGTCCCAGAATATGGCTCTGCTAGCGGTGTTTCATCGGCCCAGGTGCGGAGCTGAGAGATAAAAGCTACAAAGCGGCTCACGTCGAATGTCCATGGAGCTCCACGACGGATATGTGCCTCTCTGGGGTTGGGTAGCTGATCCAAAGCTGCCCGAGAAAGATGAAAGCCATCCATAGAGAGCAGGGCCGCGCGGGAAGTTGAGCTCTGATTCAACTGTTGCACTACTGCCTCGGCTGTGGTGGTCTTCCCTGAACCGGGGATGCCTGCGATGGCAACTAGATAGCGTGGTTTGGGATGAGCTTCGGCCTGGTTGCGGATAGTATCCGCCAGTCGCCGGTACTCGGATTCCATCTGTAGGCTGAGGTTAGATTGACTAGTATGAGGGCCAAGATGGGATTTTACCTTGAATCAATCACACATGGGTATATCTTATAGTGACGTAAACTGAAGTAGATACCTTCAACCACGGCTGGGGACAATCAACGAATCATGCTGCGCAAATGACAAAAAACAAATCCAGCAGCTATCCAGATATTGTTCAAATGATTTGATAGAAGTGCAGGGCCAAGTTATGTATGTGTTGGTGGAGCGGGTGTCGGGTCACAGTGTTCCGAAGCAACACAGTGGCCCTCGGTGTTGTGCCGTTGTATTGTAGCTGTGCCGACTTGGAGTTCGTCCTCTATGGGGATCTCCGCAAGGGGGTTTTTTTGGGGTAAGGCAATAAAAAGGGGGAAACCTGGAGATGTTGATGCACATGTGGATTTTGATGGCAAAATCATATCGGGGCATAATTCTCCAGCGTTACACCGGTTTAGACTAAATCATTTGATTTTGGTAAATGACACTGGAATCCAAATCAACTCTTGAGAAATGTGAATTTCCAAAGAGAGAAAAAAAAAGGCAAGAATGCAAGAATGCCAAAATTCCAAAATTCCAAAATTCCAAAATGCCGGGCAAAAAGACATGTAGGGTTTTGATGGCCTTGAGACGCTCAACCTGCGACCATGATGAAGTCGAAAAAAAAAACATCACAACCATCATTCATATATATTTCCAAAAATGGGAATGCGACCACCGAAAACAATCCTAGTCACACCGTCGTGTCTTTGGTCAACCTGGAAACCGTTTCCACTTCACGGACAGTTGGCTTCCGATGACTCCTCTGTTTCTTCTGTTTCGGGTCCACATAGAAGCACAAGAGCTGTTGTGACCAACAATGAGAACACTGAGGTCGTGTCTGATCACAAGCAGTCCGTTGTTCACGACAAGCTTTACAGTCCCCCGGATTTAGCTGGTAAGGCTTTTGCAAATCTGGGGGAGCTTCAAATGCTGTACCCCGCCATCCAGACCACAGCCACCGGGAGATGCGACCGCAAAGTCCACCCTTCGTCTGCCCATATATAGGTAGCTCCCGGGGAATATGTTCTTCGGGGATCTGTTCTCTGTATATTTTATCAGCCATGATCAAAGACCTTGTAATCACACCAAAGGCTCTAACCGCTGGCCCTGACTCTGCATTGTGGGGGTCCACGTTCTCCTTGTGCTATAACTGTCACCGAGAGTATTGTTTCATGGCAAAAGTGAAGGTAATAATCTAGAAACGAGAAAAAGCCTGAACACGAGAGGTGTATCCCAAAGGGGCAATGCGTACGCCGTTAGGCCCTCGGCCCCCTGCAGCTAATAAACAAATACCGCACTTCGGGCACTGCATGTCATATCAGGCAGCTGTAGATACAAGTCATGGGGTCAGGGGGAAATAGCATATTCTTAGGGGTCAAGACTTTCGGATTCGATCATGTTATCTCCGGAGTAACGTCAGGCGATATTTGATATTCGGAGTTGTACACTTCGGAATCAGGTTCCACGAGACGTTGTGGATATCGATGTTACTGTAAGCCCGTTGAAACGTCATAATAACTTCAGACCAGAAAACAGGTGAGGCAACAAGAGAAATGTTAAGATGAACTTTTTAAGGTTGTTCACAATAATAAGTCAATATGGTTCGGATAAGCGAGGCGATCAAAGATGATCACCGGAGACTGGAATCTTACTACAACATCATCGTCAACTCCGAAGATGAAGACGAGCAAACCAGATTTCAGAATCAGTTTACCTGGGAACTAGCACGACACGCCGTCGCCGAGGAGCTAGTAGTGTTCCCTGCATTGCAAAAAGTTCGATCTGACAGCCAAGAGAAGATAGATGATGATCGGCGTGAGCATTCGGCGGTCAGTGTTCTCATCTTAAATTGAGAGCGACGCTAATATATTATAGCTCAAAGAAATGCTCTACGTTTTCCAAGACCTAAAGTCTTCTGATCCACGCTTCTTCCCTACAATTACGATGCTGATGGAAGGTCTTGCGCGGCATATGATCGACGAAGAGACAAATGACTTGGTCATATTGGAGGAGACACTCAGTTCTGATGAGAGCGAGGGGCTAGGTGAATCTCTTAGCCGTACCAAGATGTTCGTACCCTCTCGCTCGCATCCATACGACCTGGACACCCCGCGCTTTGAGACTGTAGCCGACCTGATCACAGCTCCTCTGGATCGTCTTCAAGATTTGTTCCGAAAGTGGCCGGAGGAGGAAAGCATGCTGGCCGCGCCATTGGAGTAGATTGAAAGGAAAAGAGTTATAGCAATATAGAGATTTTATCTCTTTTGGCCTACGATGGAGCCAACTTACAGCCTACAGAATATACAAACTCGTGAACGTAATTGAATTCTCTCCTCTGGATAATGATTGAGCTTCTCTGCCTAGTCATTTTCGCTTAGAGTGTTATCCTGAGATTTGCGATCAGCTCTAGATAAATTATTGTTAGCAATTGGTCCGATTATTGCATCGCGAAGATCTCGCACGTTTCCTGGTCTTTACTCTGATCCGGTGCCTCGTCAAGGTAATGCCGAGGTGTATCCCCGTCAAGCTCATCATTGAGAAGGTCTAAAGCATTACGCTTGGCCTTTTTCGATACTTTGGAACTGGTAAGAACACTGAAAATATTAATAACGGGTATAAAATTAAAATGAGAACATTCAGCTCACGCTGTATAGCCCCGCCTCGAGCTTAATTCGTCTTCGACGGATAAATCGACATCTTTGGCTTCCCCAAGGCTTGACATCATGTGTTTCGGTCCTGATTAAGTTTCAGATCCTCTACAAAGATGAAATTGAGGTTCTAGGTCTTGTAAAGTTTGTAGCTATTATTAAAACATATGAAGGTGAGGTACTAGCGGCAGAGAAGCCCGGGTTTATAACGTCAAACCATCATAATGATCGGGCGATGAATGCTGAAAGCACCGGGAATACCCCGAGCGCATAATTATAACTACCAATAAGCTAGCAGCATCGCAAGATTCCTATCTAGATTATCGAGGGACTACTAAGACTTTACCCATACCTACATGTCAGTAGATATCTAGGTACCTTGATAGAAACCTCTTGAAGATGGTATTTATTTCCAATAAAATTGTCATTGCGCAACACCTGTCTGTTGTACAAAAGAAAAACGTGATCCGACCAAAAGGGCATATTCATTAGAGGTTGTTGTATCTGCCTTGTCCTGCATATTCGGTAGGTCCGCTATGATTCAACATTTCTAGATCCGGATCACCCTGGGTTTTGCGATAGCCCGCGAGGATCTTGCTTGGATGGAAGACGTTGAAAAGCAGACAGCAAAGGAACATCAAGGCCGCATCAAATACGTATATGAATGCCTCTTTACTTTGAAGGTATCCGCCACTGCCCTGGACATATTCCGCCACTCTGTAGATTGATCGGATGAGGACCAAGACACTGGCAGTATAGAGAACCTTCATATAGCGGGTCCAGGGAATTTGAGTGTCGCCCGCAGCATACATGGGTGTTGCTAGCATGCGACGATGGAAAATCACAGATACAACGACAAAGAACCCGAAGAATAGGATTTGAACGATGAGTCCGACGACAACCATGTTGTTTCCGAGTTTTACTTTCGACTCGTCCTTCGCGCTAGCAAGCATTCCACCTCCTATAAGAAAGGAACAACATTAGTGACATTGCATGATGTAGAGACTTCACGTAACATACCTCCACTCTGGATGAAAAAGGATAACACATCACCCGTCACAAATATCTTGGTCAACCATGATGGTCTGACCAGTGAACACGAAGCCCCGTTCAGCAAACGAATGATACGACCGAGAATCATGTATATAGAAGCCGCAAAGAACGCAGGTGCCAACAAGAGCATCAAGCTCTGTGCAATATATGGCTTAGTGGTGAAATCGGGGGGCTTCCTCTGCGCTGGCATATCTCGCTAAATAACCCAAGGCCTCGACTAAAAACAGTTCAAGCGATTAGCATAGTTTCAAAGTTGATAGGGAAAATGTAGAAATAAGACACACATAAACCACCGATAACAAATGGTATGAAGTACCAGGTTCGATTCCGGCCTAATTGCCAGATGTGTACCACGGTAGTGAGCCCAAAGACTGCTGCGAAGGCGACAGCACAGCCAGCAGACGGGTCGTAATGGTACAATTTGAACTCGGGCATGATGAGCTAGCGTAAACCGCAGGACGGCTGGTCTTGGATTCGAGAAAGATAGGTAGCGCTCTTTGAATATGAAAAGGAGTGAAAAGTTGTAGGATTCGAGAAAGACAGACGACGTTGAATGAAGATCGAAAGGAGTGAAAAGTCCGTCTGTAAACAGGATTCAGTGAAGAGATTCAGCTCGGCTTATGAGAAACTCGCTATTTAAACATCTTTTCATCTTGGCCGATCATTTAATATTAGTATGCACGTTGTGGTGATATGCCACTGCCTTGCCCCATAATTAGGGATCCCTTTTTGTTGACGACAGTTGAAAAGTGCAAAAAACTAGTCCATTTGGGTATAAGATACGAATTATGCGAGAAAAACGAAACAGGGTCAAGCTTCCTGTAGTTTAGTTTCTCATTGCTCTGATCCACCCAGGCAGTTCGTTGGTTCTCGTCCAATCAGACGTGTTATAGATCTTCCAAAACGGTAAACATAACGAGTACGAGATATAACTAGCAGACTGTAGTTTGCGACTAGTACAACGTTATTTGCGAAAATCTCTTTTTTATGGGCCTCGATGGATGGTGCTTTTATCCACGGTGTTTCTAATAATAAAGCGAGGAACGAAATACGAAGAGAACAGCTCATCTGCAAGGCTATATCGGAAGAGTAGACTCGGCTGCGAGAAGAAGATTTTCCAAGATCTTTCGGGTTTATATGTACGAAACCTTAGATATGTTATCTGCACTGAGACAGGACTTTTCCATACAACACTTTCAACTGCGTTATCGAGAGGATCAATACACCGAGCAGGTCTTGAAGATACGAAGTCCCATCATGACTGAAGATGAGTAGAGCAATAGAACAATGTGAAGTTTGCTACTGTTTCATTGCAGGCAATAGCTGCTAGTATTTGAAGTTGGATACGCAGGGATGTTCGGATTCTTCAAATTTGAGGACCCACAGTTTCCGGTAAATGTTGATGCCTTGATGCCTGGCTTTGGCCTGGCCGCCTGAATTAAAGCCGGCAGAAGAATTAAAACAGCTTTTATCATCATACAAATGCAGATATCTCTATGTTTTTTTTTTGGCGGTTTACAAGTGTCAAAAATGAAGCTTTTTATTAGCATAGAAATGGAGATATCTCACTTTGCATAGGGGTCAAAAGCTTCATTTTAGGATGAATAATTTACATTACATTGGATAGGGCGGTGTAAGGAGCGGTCAATAACCGGAGTAAATCAGGCATTCATTAAGGCATCAATATTTACTAGAAGGGGTTTGGCAGTTGGGGCCTATACTACAAAAGGTGAATAAAACACAACATACCTTTCTGTATTCTCCCTAACTACATAGAGAGGCAAAGTTGAGGCCATGGGGCTTTACTATGTTGTGTTTATGTACCTTTTGTATGGAGTCGTCATACAAAAGATACCTGATGCTTACAATCTGCTATCCCAACACTGAATAGGCGTTGATGGGGGATGGAGGATGGCCACGATCACCATGGAATAAATATATAAACAAAGCGAAAACAATCGGGGGATGCTGTAATCTGTGGCGACATTCCTCGGGACCGGGAATGTGATGGCTTTTGAATGTCGGGTTTTAATATTTAATCTGGCTTAGTCCAATTATCACAAGCAGATTAACAGTCTAGTCAGTCTATGTTATATTGTACACAGTCTAGATGATCCAAACAAGTCTTGGACAGTCTTGGATAGTCTTGGGGACAGTCTAGACTTAAGCGCTAAAAGGCCAAGACCAAGGCAAAAGTGGAGAGAGCGGCAGCTCCGATCATAACATTGTTCCCCATTGTCCCCCATTTTGATCTCATTTGGACTTTGGTATGTGATTATCTTTAGTTATACGGAGTACAATATTGTACTCTTTTCTTCTACATACCCTATGTAACTAGTTACTATTTTTAATATCTTTTTGTTCGTATGCAAACTTTTTTCTGTTTCACCATACGTTTGGGGTTACCCCTCGCAGTGGACTCTAGAGGTTTCAGGTTGATATACACCCCTGCCAATTAACGGTTAACCGCCGTGACAGTGACCAGTCGATTACTTTTTTTTCCGTTGCTTGGCTCGTCGCTTTGAAGAATGGATCATCCTGAGTGGACTTGGACTCCTGGACTAAAGCGCCACGGACGTTCTTGACTCCGGAGTTGCAGCCTATTACAGACATCTACTCAGCCTAGTCAAACGTCTCAGGCACTGGTGCATTGTTACTGGATGGAAAAATTGATCTCCAGTCTTTTAGCATGAAGCAATTTGGGATGGTGCGGCTGGTGAAAAGTATTTGGGTCAAATATTTCCCACCTTCGATACGTTGGACAACGCTCACATTCCTTTCTCCTTGTTGACAATCTGGGATTGTCAGTCTTTCTTTTAGATTTTTCTTTTTGTGTTATATCTGCATATTCACTCTCTTTCTTTTCATATTAACTTTTTGGATTATCCCACAAGCATCTGGACTTGTTATACTTCTCCAGACAAGATGGTTTCTTCAACACGTTCATTGAGCGCTGGATCGCTGATGCTCGCTTTGTTATCTTCCCCCGTGGCCGCCACAACTTACTCGCTAGTGGAGAATTGGCAGGGAAAGCACTTCCTGGATTACTTCAATTTCCACGTCGGTTCTGACCCGACCAACGGCTTCGTTAACTATCTCGACAAGGAGACCGCCGAAAGTTCAGGCCTCGTCAAGGTCACCGACAGTGGTAGTGTGTATCTGGGTGTCGACCATGCTACTAAGCTGGACGGCAACGGCAAGAAGGGCCGTGATTCGGTTCGTATTGGCAGCAAGAAATACTATGACCAGTCCCTCGTCATCGCCGATATCGCCCACATGCCTGGTGGCGCCTGCGGTACCTGGCCTGCCTTCTGGTCCGTCGGAAAGAATTGGCCTTCAGACGGTGAGATTGATATCATCGAAGGTGTCAACATGGCGGATCACAACGAAATTGTTATGCACACAGCCGGCACTTGCAGTGTGACAGATACGGATATGACCGGTTCCGTCAACGCTACAGGGTGTGGTGCGGACCTAGGTACCGTCGGTTGCAAGATCGAGGGTCACGAGGGGAGTTATGGCACATCTTTTAACAAACAAAAAGGTGGTGTGTATACGCTGCAGTGGACCGACGATTTCCTCAAGATTTGGTTCTTCCCCCGAAGCTCGATCCCGGCCTCGATTACCAGCGGCAAGCCCGATGTAACCGAATTCGGTAAGCCGATGGCCCTGGTGCAGGAATCATGCGACGTTGCCACCGCCTTCCAGCCCCAGTCGTTTACTTTTGATACCACCTTCTGTGGAGACTGGGCAGGTGTTGTGTACGGTGATTCTGGTTGCCCCATGACCGGCGGCGATTCCTTCCAGAGCTGCCACAACTACGTCGCCAACAACCCAGCTCAGTTCAAGGAGACTTACTGGGAAATCAACTCTGTCAAGATCTATCAGACTGGTGTGAAGGGAATTGCCCCAGTTTCATCATCCGAGTCCGAGCCGGCTACGACTGCTGCTGCTCCTGTTGTTTCGAAGACAACTGCTGAGACCCACGCTGATCACACTACTACTGCTACTGCTGTGCACTCAGTTGCTTCCAAGGAAGATAAAACCGCTGGAGCAGTCCAGGAACTTACGACTGCGTCTGTTCCTGTGGTTTCGAAGACAACTGCTGAGACCCACGCTACTCACACTACTACTGCTACTGCTGTGCACTCAGTTGCTTCCAAGGAAGATAAAACAGCTGGAGCAGTCCAGGAACTTACGACTGCGTCTGTTCCTACTGTTGCAGCTACTGCCGAAAGCTCTGCTACCGAAGCCGTCGAACAGCCTTCTGGCAAGAAGACTCGCACAATCACCTCTATAGTCACTGCAACTGAGACCGTCTGTCCCGAGGACGAAAAGTCCTCCGCTATTGCCGCGCACTCCTCCGTGTCAGCCACAGCCACCGCTCCAGCTGTGCAATCTGTCCAAGTCCCAGCCCACGGCAAAGATCCGGAGGCACGCACTTCTGCCTCTCCTGTGGTCCCCTTGAGCGTCGCATCTACCCCAGCTGGTCACGGTCACGGTCACAGTCACGGTCACACGCACTCGAAGCATACATCCATTCCTGTCGCTACGTCCGTCGCCACTGAGAGCTTCGGTGGTTCATGGAAGCCTTCTGCGATCCCCTCTGCCGTTGTCTCCGACGTTCCTTACGAGCCCTCCAAGTCCCTGATCCCTGCCACTACCGATGCCTCCGCGCAGCAGCCTACATCGGCTACATCTGCCTTCTATGTTCCTACCGGCTCTGAATCCGGAGCCAGCCCTGTCTTTACCGGTGCCGCTGATCGTTTGTCCATGAGCACCTCGGCTCTCTTCCTTGGAGTCGTTGTCGCCTTCTTGGCTTAGATATCTGTGATAGCTTGCGTTTGAAACTGGTCTAGATTTGGCGGTGGATTTTATTTGGTTAATTGTACAGTAGGTCATAGCGATGGCCGTAGAATGCTTGGTTTTGTTTGGAATCAGTCTGTATTCAGTCTATGTTTTCCCTCGATGTACCCAAAAGGAAGCGTAACTAGTTAATGAAGAATTATTTCCTCGAAATATTACTGAGGTTTTCCCCCATACTCCATATATACAAACACCATTTATCCCTAAACTCCACGCTTTCCCGCCTGAATTTGAACGCTTCACTCCCTATGCCGTCCACCTCGCCAACCAATCCTGAGCATAACATCTCAGGATTCCATCATCAATAATTCTCAATCGACTATTTCGCAAAGTCACACTACTCCTCTCTGCTTTCTCCGCAATGAACCTTTTAGGCCCATTCTGCATCAAAGATGATCTCCTCCCATGCATCGTCTCATAATGGTGAGTGAGCTTGACCGCCGGATTGACAAGTTCCTCCCCTCTCGTCTCACTCCCACGAAGTCTCAGCAACCACTCTTCAAAAGACACGACATCAAATCGGAAACCACAATTCTTCAAAGTGCGCAGCAAAGCCGACCAGGTGAATTCGCGAGAATTACACAAATTGAAAATCGAGTCATCAACATACTCCGCCGAAGCCGAGCTGGACGCTTGACTTTCGCCAAATACACTCGGCGTAGCACAGGTCCTGGCTAGTTCAGCAATAGTAGACGCAAGCTTGTCCACCGGAAGCCAAGAACATGTTTGAGATAGCTCAGGCAGTGCACCCAGTGTCAGTGCCGAGCGGATCATCAACGGCAGAGCTTCGGAGTCATTCCAAAGGCCCTTCTTCGAGTGACCTGAGACCTGGCCAATGCGAAGAGAATAGGCCCTTGCTCCACTGCGTCGCGCATTACTCACAATCCGCTCCCCAATTAACTTGGATTGTCCGTAACCCATGAACGCGCTATCCAAGTCGACTGGTTCTTCGAGGATCTCGGCTGCTCGAGATCCGAGCGCGGTGGAGACTGACGAGCAGAACATCATCACGGCAGGCTCGCGTCTATGCACTGATAGGGATAATTGGATCAGATTGTATAGTCCCTGGATGTGTGGCTCGAATTCGGATAGGGGGAGATTAAAGTTGACGGGCCATGCTGTGTGAATGATGAGTGAGACTGAGTCTAGTATGTGTGTAGATGTGCTTTTGTCTAGAGATAGACCGAAATCGGGCTGGTCGAGACGGCTGTTGAAGGCGACGATCTTGGCTTTCTGTTCGGGGGAGATGGAAAGACCTTTGTCGGTTAGAGTGTGGAGGATTGCTTCCAGTGGTGATTCTCGTCGGGTGAGACAGTATACTGTGGAGATTGAGTCGTCGTTGAGTAGCTCGTACAGCACATGGGCTCCAATTGACCCCGTGGCTCCTGTTAAAATCTTGGAGATGTTAGCTTCTGGTTATAACCTCCGACAGTAAGATAGTCACTCACCACACTATTCGGCCCTGAGAAAGCATGTGGTTTGGGCATGTGCCTCTCGAACACGGAGTACTTCCCGATCAATCCAGTCATCACAGATATATCACTCTCGGCATCTTCCAATGTCTCCCCCTTTTGTAGAGCACATATATGCCGAGCCAACTGTGCTATACATCCCGCCTCAAATATGACATTCGGACCAGGAGCCTGGCCCATCTCAAACTTGAAATGCTGAAGAATGAGACGCCGGAAGTGGATCGCCTTCAGGCTATCAACGCCCTCAGAGAAGAAATTGGCGTCGACACCAGAGACGGATATTCCAAGTTCTTGCTGTGCTATTTGAAGAAGAACGCGCTCTGTCTCCACAAAGTCAAGCTGAAGATTCCCATATATCTGCTCCTTCTCGGTGTAAATCCCTTCGATAAGCTCACTGTATTCTTGATATACTTGTGCTCGGATCATGGACCCCTTGTCCGTTCGAGAAAACTTGGCATCATGTGGCAATATGGCAATAAGATTGCGGGAAATTTGAGAGAAAGCCTCAGCCTGGGAATTGGCTTCTTGGATAATCGGCCAAATTGCATTGATGTATTTGTTGTCCGAGAGATGGTTGGCTCTAGGTTCGTCCGCTCGCAAAATCAATAGTCCTGGAGCAGCTTTGCCTACCCCGACTACAACTGCATCATGGATAAATGGATGTTGTTTGATGTGACCTTCAATCGGGAGAGGTAAAACCTTTTCACCATTTACTAGGTTGATTCGATCATCCAATCGTGAAATATATTTCCACCTTCCGGCAATTGTAGGATGAGGGGTGAACACGTCTTTTGAATGGAAGGATCCTGGCGGCTCGTTTGAATTCGAGGTTGTTAGGGCTGGATGACCAGCAAGATAAACGCACTCGAAAAGCGATTCAGATTCAGAGATGGGCTTCATCCAGACATATGGTCGGATATTGTCGAAGAATTTCACATAGTTCCAATATGGGTCACCCTTGGGTCGTGAGATTGATTCTGCAACAAGGCCAGCCTCGGTGCTAAAATTTGTTAGTCTTTGGGTCGCTGTAGATATCTGCAGAATATTACTTACAGGCCAAATGAACCTCCAAAGTGTACTCCTTCGCTTACTAGGCGATCGCCCAGCTCGTCAGGACAGGGTGCACCTCCGTAGGTAACCAACTTGCATTGTCTTAGCGCTGTGATACCGCGGGGATCATCAACCAAAATTTGGAGCATGTATGGAACCGCTGCTACAGACTCTGGTCTTGCTTCTTCAAGGGCTGTAGCGACAAATTCTGCAGTCAAAGGCAGCGCAGCATTCCACATATAGGCTGTCTTTCTCATCCACATTGCCTGCAATGCGGTGGACAGCCCATGGAGGTGATACCATGGCAGGGTATTGAAAGAAGTGAACCCAGGACCTCTCAGAGGGTGAGTCATTATGGCTTTGTGTGTGAGGAAGAGTGGTTTCGGGGTGCCTGTTGATCCCGAGGAATGAAGGATCAAGGCGACCTTTTCAGGGTTTCGATTGCGTTGGAGAACGAGTGATGGCGATTGTAGTTTGTTGTATAAAGAGCATGAGAGCATTGGACGGCATGTCACTAGCATCCGGCGAAGAATCTCGCCCAATGTTGAGCGGATATTTGGGGATTGGCCATATATGATTGATTCGCAGTTGACCGTTTCTAGCAAAGATACGCAGGCTTCGCCGGAGAGTCTTGGTGAGAGCATCATGACAGTATATCCCAGTCGACTTAGAGCAAAGAAGGTAATCACCATATTAAGGTCGGACAAAGTAAGAAGTGCCACGATGGATGGAGTTTGCGTTGACTAAACATTTATTTGTTAGAGTGTTAAGATCATAGGGCACTTCATGACCAACCTGTTTGAATCCATTATCCATGAGCATGATGATAGCTTGGTTTATCATAGCATCCAATTGTTTCCCGGTGTAGTATTCATATGAAGCTGCATAATTGTCGAAACGGGGATAGGCAAGAATAGGATATTGAACAGCATCAGCGGCCCGTAAGCGAATTAAGTCGTCAAGTACTTGAAGCGATCCAAACTCCTGTACTAATGGGTTGATAGTGCTGGAGGGACCAGCCTGTGCTGCCTGGCTTCCACGTTGGATGCCCATGATGAGTACAGAACTATTCCAGAAATGAGAGGAAGGGTGCCACAGCAGCTTGGTGATTCCAGTGCGATATTGAGGAATAAAGCTGTATTTAAGGGACTGTTGTATACTTAGACCGCTTCATTGACCCATATTCCCAGATTAGCATATACTGACTGCATTCGGGATGCCCGGCAAAAGAAAGTCCTTCTGCATCGGGAAAAGGATATACATATCACACGGGATCAGCCCAGTAGCAAACAGACAGGATCAGATACCATGCTGTGATAGTTATGCAGATGCCAACACAAGTCATCAAGGCGCATATTGAATAGTTGGGGTTTGAGGAAATAATATCTCGGGAATAGTCATGCACACCCTCCATGTACAACAACACAATTTCAATGCACAAGGACTGGCTCGCGGAGCGAATTGTTTGTGTCACCAACAAACACCCAGCTTGGAACCAGAGATTTCATTTGTTGAGATTCAACAGTGGCGTTCCGTTAACGTCGAGATTGGTCTACTCCGTTTACTGTGGCTCAGGCTACTAACTAGCTACCTCGCTAGTGGCCAAATTCCAAGTTTTGGAGAATAATCCCCCTGTGTAGAATTAACCGAGTGCATGCATTGTGCATTATTCTCCAACATCGGAGTGGAATTTCTATCGCGACCAGCGGCAATCGTTACACCGCAGAGCTGCCCGAGACACATCCGCCTCAGTTGGGATGGAAATCCCGTTGGGAAAGACCAAAAGAATCTCTACCTGTCACCAGAGGGAAAGGAATCTATTCTGATAGAGCATTTAGGCGATAATTAGTTGCAACATCGCATGAATGCATATTACCAGTTCTAGGTCCTGTGTTGGGACTCTGAAACCCACTGTACAAGTCAGTGTAACTGAGGACGGCGGTGAGCATCAGCCTTCAGTCTGGAACAGCTTGGGTGTCATAAGTAAAGGCTACACAAAACGCCGTGTTCAGATATGCCCCGATGAAGTGATGGCTCTGTGTTTCATTGGCCGTTAGATATATTCAGCATTGTTGAACTATTTTGTGGTAACGTACAACCAGTCTTACTATTCTACCGGTGCTAAATTGGACTAAGACCATTCCAGACAGTCAAGGAGTGAAGGGCCAGGCTCAGTTATGTCTCACTTGAAAGCGTATGTTGTAGAAGTCCCCTTCAACCCCTGGCTAAGGGGATGGCACCGAAGAGTGACGCAACGTGGAGCTACCACCTCGAAAGATGGGTGAGCTAAATGATAATCTAATTCATTCAGGTCTATATCAAACAGAATCAGGCGTTTTCCAGTAATCTTCGAAGTCACCTCCAACGCTGGTATGGGGGCCCCACTCCAATAATTGGATCGGGAGCGGGCCGGGAGAAGCACCCGGGATGCCGGGAATGCTCTGTGGAGTTTCTGATCTATACCTGGTATCTGGTATCTGGTATTAAGGGTATAAGCGTTCTCGGGAGCCATTGCTGGATCCTCCAAAAGAATGCGGACCCGCTCGATCGGTCTATGCTGATCATCACGACTTTATTTTTATATTTTCTTGTCTCGCCTTGGTAAGTCTCAGAACACAGACCTAGACATAACATTCCAGCTGCCGGGCATGATCCTGTGACGTTCCGCTAGAAGAAGATGTACCCGATGGTCTGGTTCGGCATACTCCGTACTAATTTCACAAATTCCCGTATGCGGTTAGTAATTTCTTCATTTAGATCGAACATTCCTGAGATCTAAAACACTTGGATCGGAACCAACCCCGGAGGGTATGTGTGCAGGCATCGAGCATGACTGTAACATATCAACATTGAGAACCAGACTTAAATTTTAGACAGGGATCCATAAAAAGAGATTGCAAGACACCGGTTCAATTTTAGCATCAAGACTATCATTCTTCTGTATCGTATCATTCTTCTGTATCGTTTGAATGTACCCAGAGTTCCAATCATGGTCTTAAAAATGCAGAATAACACTGACTGAAACAAAATGCGCTGATCTCCAAGCCACCCAATACCTAGATGGATCCCTTCTCCGACTTCTCTTCCAACAATTCCATGACCCGCAGCCAGGACCGACTAGCGCGGGCAGCATGCTCCATCGGCACGGCCGGGTTATCTTCCATGGTGGATCTCGAGAAGACCTCCATACTGACCCACCCGGTATAACCCAAACCGTTAATGCAGGCATCCGTCACCTCGCGAATCGGAAGGTATCCGCCCCGATCCTCTTCACACGGAAACAGACGTGCATTCCGGGACCAGGCTAGCAGAGTGGGCAGGCCTGGTGCCTGGAGAAAGGGCGTTTGTGGGTCGACCCGCTCGCCGTCGGCAAGTTGAACCATAAGCACTCGGTCCGGATCAATCTCCCGTACAAGCCGGTCCATCGACTCCTGCAGATCTCGGTCTGCGCTTGGGCCAAGTCGCCCTGTTGCGGCGATGGGATCGGCCCACACGCGCGCTGCTATGTTGAATGTATCAAGACAGATGCCGAGATTGGGTCGATTGGCCCGCTTAATCACATCCCAGGAGTCTTCCCAGGTGCTGATGTATGTTCCCCATGCCAGGGCCTCGTACGCGATGCGCACGGGGAATGCTATATCTGCAGCCTCGGCCAGGTCGGCTGCGAGACGCTCTCGGTCGGAGGTTATCTCCGAGGCGTCGAGGAAAGATGATGGGATCAGGATGAAGAGTGAGTCGCCAAGAATCTTGCATAATTGCACCCAATGCTTGAGTTCGTCGATGCGTTCCGCATGTCGTTCTGGATCAATGAGACCTTCGTAGTGTCGGAAAGGTTGGAGAGCTACAACCTGCAGATCACGCTCAGCAGATAAATCTCGGATAGCGTGTGCTGCGTCAATCTCGTAGTCTCGATCAGTGCGGGGTGCGCTGTCAGTTGCATGGGCGCGAAGGGTCTTGGCAAGCTGCGCTACATCATCATGAAAGAGTTCGAGTCCTTTTTGGCCATTGAGGGCGACAGCATCAAGTTTGGCGATGATGGGATGCAAATTAGCAGCTCCCAGACTGACTGTTGCAATGGCTGGTTTCCATCGCGAGTCCACTTCGGACTTGAGGGCATTTGGAAGAGAATGCATAGCTAAAATGTTTTTGGAGGTTGACCTGGGACTAGCAGCAACTAGTGATCTCTATCACACTCTTTATAGCATAAATCACAATCTCACATCAACATGAGATTTCTGCTTCCGTGCTGATCCTGTATTATGATGCTTTCTTTTTCTTTTTGTGAAAAAAAAAAGTAATTTCCAATGTGGGATAACTAGTGAGTACAGAAAATACAACCAGTCACAGATGGTCCGGATTCAAATCGTACACCGTGGGGCAAGCATGTACACCCTTGGTCACCTAAATCGGGTCAACTTCTTTGTCAAATGCGGAATATTCAAACGAGGGACCGAGAATGATTGAATAGTGGAGTATCTAGAAACGATATTCCCCCGGGTTTCAGATGTTTTCGGGGTCAGCTTACCCATATTGCATTCGTATGTTGTAGGAATGGATTGAACGCCGATGGAAACATGGGTCTTTTAATTTATTTGCCTTGTCCGATGTGACTGTTACCGAGGAGAGCACCAAAGACTATAAGATGCAATCGAGATCCAGCCAAATAGTTCCCTCATCCTAGCTTGTGCTACTCGAAACAGACAATTCCACTCTGAGTATCGGCGCTTTCTTTTTTCTTGAACAGCGATAATGACGATCACCACACCCTTTCATTGTTTGGTCAATCGTCTCGGCCAAATGGCCTTGAAAGAAGCTTCGGATCCATCTCCACAAGCCCACTTTGAGCTATTGCGAATGATCGACCAGCTCAGGTCTGCAGTGGAAACGCCGACAGAAACCGTGTTGCGCTTGATTTACCAGGTAAGGCGTTCCACGGATCTAAACCAAGTTTGTATTCTGACTGGACACTCTAGCCTCCTCAAAATGCCGCGTTGCGCGTTGTCATTGATTTGGGTATTTTCGCCATGCTTGTAGAGAAGCGACATAGAGGGATGGGACTGTCAGCCGCCCAGCTGGCAGACCATACGGGCGCCGAGAAAGATCTAATTGGTACCATTTCCTGCAATGACAATAGTTCGTCACACATTGTGGATCGCCTAACTTTTTGAATAGTGCGATTGATGCGTGTTATGGCCTCTCTTGGGCTGTGCATCACACCGACCCCAGAGGTCTATGTTGCCAACGAGAAGACGGTGGCACTGACTCAGCCGATTGGGAGAGACGGAATCCCATGCATGTAAGTTGGTGATGGTGGCTTGACCCTTGCATCTCTTCGCGCCGTTACTCACTGACTACTCGCTTAGTTATGATCTTACCTTTCCAACGTTGAGCAAGCTACCAGAGTACCTGCGCTGCCATGGTTATGACAATCCCCAGGATTATACTCAGTCGCCTATGCAATGGGCCGTTGGACAGAGTCAGTTTGAGTGGCTTTCGAGTAATTCGGAGCAGCAGGAGCTCTTCAATTCGTACATGGCTAGCCGTCGCGAGGGTAGACCAATGTGGTACGATATATACCCCGTCGAGCGACTGTTCGGCCATGCTATCCCATTCAAAGATACAGTCTTCCTGGTGGACATTGGTGGCAACCAGGGGCATGATCTAGGTAAATTCTGCCGAGAATATGGTCATCTGCCGGGCAGAATGGTGCTGCAGGATTTGCCAAGCGTGATTGAAAGAGTCGATGGAGAGAGTGCAGGAGTCGAGGTGATGGGATACAATTTCATGGATCCTCAACCCGTGAAGGGTGCCCGCGCCTATTATTTTCGCTCCATTTTCCATGACTGGGATGACCAAATCAGTCGAAGGATCCTTCGAAATACGGTCTCAGCGATGGCGCCGGACTATTCTCGAATTCTCATTGTGGATTTCGTCCTGCCAGACACCGATACGCCCCTGATGCAGGCTTCTCTGGATATTCAGATGATGAGTATAGGGGCTGGTGTCGAACGGTCGGAGCGACAGTGGAGAGATCTATTGCACAGTGCAGGGCTAGAGATCACAGGGATTTGGAATCAGAGCCCGGCGATGGAGTCGGTGATTGAAGCAGTGCCAATGTTGAAATAGAACAGATAGTTAGTGAATTTGAGCAGGTCGGGTATTTGAATTTCAGCAGGATGGAAGATAAAATAAAATATTTATTTTTGGTAAGAGTCCCCTAACGGGACTCAACGACTCAAATATGTCGCGCCTGAACGGGCCGCGTCTTCAACAACCACTGTCCCTCTGAAATACAAACCGTGTGAGTCTAGTTGCTTCTCAAATGTGGCCCTGTATCTATCATTCTTCATCAATCCTCCTGCCAACACCAGCACAGATGCCTCACATGGCTGATAGCCAGTAGCTTGAGGCTTCACCAAGCGACCAAGAGTCTCCCCAACAAGTGAAGTTATTTGAGAGCTCACGATAGCCGATGCGGTATTATTTTTGTCCATCAAGTCTAGAACAACAGGCGCAATACTCGCAATGCGTGCCTTCACACACTGAGGGTGGGTCCGAGTCAGAATATTGTTCAACATATCGACACTGGCACTCTCGGAGATTTGACACCCCAGTTTCTCCGCAACTGCTTTCGAAAGTTCATCACCTCCAGTTGTGTCGAGCCCCAACGTGATATCCTCGAAGATTCCTAGGGTATGCTGGATGGCTTTCATACCAATCGTGTAGCCACCACCCTGATCGCCGAGCATGTGGCCCCAGCCTCCAGAACGTGCCGAACGAGCGTATCTTTGTTCAGCTTCAGTCCATTTATATCGCATTGCAACACTTCCCGTGCCTGCGATCACCACTAGGATGGATGGTGTACCGAAGGACTGCGGAACACCTGCAGTCAACAGATCTACGTCGTTGGTTAACTGGAGGTCCTTTTTGTGAGTGATTCCAAACACTTGTCTCAGTTTGGGTGCTAGCACTCCCTCCAGTCCAGCCCGGTCTATACCAGCCAGTCCAATCCACACAGAACTGAACGATGTTTGGGGATGTTCTCTCCACGAAGACTTTGTTTGTTCCACGTCGCTTTGCAGAGCATCTTTCAAAGCAGCCTTAGCAGCGTCAAGTAACGTGGGAATGATTGCGTCTATATTTCCAATGCTGTCGGTTCTGGATAATGGTTAGCTTCACAATAGCGCACAGGATAAAGCTGGAACGAGAAGAGGTCATACAGATTGCATGGACCAGCAAAGCCCTGACCCACGACCTTGGCGCCGTCAGCCACAACAGCAGCACAATTAGTACCACCACCATCAATGCATAAGGCAAGTTTTTGAGTGGCGGTACTTGTGGGCTTTTGTTCTATGGGTTTAGAGATGGCAGCTAGCGCGTTGGCCAACACTCCACCCGCAGCATCAAAGCATCCCTGACAAGTCTCAACCGACTCCCCGCTCTCTGCAACCAAAATAGCCAGTTTGACACTGGAATTACATCTGGAAAGTAGAGTGTCCAATTCAGCGTCGGATGAGGACTGGCACTTTCCACTCAACCTCCGCAAAATATTACGGGATCTTTGCTCGAGTTTCAAATTTGAGGCTACGAGATCAACCATCTTGAACCTCAACGTTAGCTGAAGTACAACAGTCAGGGGAGACTACGGTCATACCATGTTTCCATAAGTCTTTCCTGTGCGAATCATAGTACCGGTACTTAGCATATTCAACACCAGCTTCGTGACAGTACCGGCCTTAAGACGGGTGCTACCAGTGACAACTTCGGGCCCAGACACAGGTGAAATAACAAAGTCCACATTCCCTGAAAGGCCAATCGCCGAAGGAACTGTACAAACAACCGCGATTGTCACGCAGCCGAGACGTTTAGCGAAAGCAAGACAACCAAGCACATAAGGCGTGCGGCCCGAGCTTGCAATTCCAATAATGGTATCAAGCTCTGGATTCAGATTGAGAGATCTCATCTCATGCTCGCCGGCTTTCTCATCATCCTCGGCTCCCTCCTGAGCCTCTCGGATTGCGGCATCTCCACCAGCAATCAGACCAACGAACTGCCCACGCGGGGCGGCGAAGGTCGGGGGAATTTCTGATGCATCCAAGATTCCAAGCCTAAATCTTTGTTTAAATTTTGTTCTAACGAGTTGGCCAAGATTCGCATGACTGACCTTCCACTGGTGCCAGCGCCGACATAAATCACACGGCCGCCTTGTCGAACTCGCGGGGTCAATGCGTCAATGGCTCCTGCAATAACAGGCAAGCAAGGAACAACACTGTCGGGGACTTTTTGATCGTCGGCATTAATCACAGTGCACATATCAAGTGTCGACATGCGATCAATATGCACGGTTCGGGGATTGACCCCCTCCGTTTGGAGTTGAGATAGACTCCCGAGATCCATTATGCAGGGTGTCCTGAGTGATCACTTGGAAAGAATACAAGCTTAACGCCGTTTCTTGTCAGTGTCTTTCATGTATTTTTTTTCACGAATCACGAATCAGACTATGCACAGAAGGGCGATAAGGGGGCCTTTTAGACGATTGAGGAGACGAAGCTGGATCCATTTCCAGTTGGCGCTATGCAAGTCAAGTGCCTAATATCGCCGCATTTCCCGAGGTTGATACCGTTGAGGGAAACTGACAGATACCTGTACGTAAGTCTTCTGGAAATGCCTAGTGGTCTGAATATATGGGGGCCGTTACAAGGTAGAGTTGCAATGAAGGGATCTTGACTGAGTGGGATTGGACCGGTTAGCAAGCGACCGGGGTGGATCTTCATTTCTTCTCCAGACTTTTCCCAGAATGGTGTCAGATGGAGCCGATCCGAAGAGAGAGTGGAGTTTATCTCTCTCCAGGATTCGTGGACTGAGAAAGGAGAAGGTCGTGTGATAAGGAATTGCACTATGCTCCTCCGTACTCAACCTAAAGATAATGCGATCACTCCACTCTTGCTACTACTTCACAGAGGTTACCTTGGAGATATCCACGCGAGATATGCATATGATAACACCCTGTTCTCGTGTGCAACCTAAACCCCGTATCGCGTGGGGCCTCAGACTCGATAAGCTGGCCCACAATAATCTAGCATGGGGAATATCGGCAGTGCTAGAAGGCTATAACATAAGACCTCGGTCATTTCCCAGGGAATTTTGGTTTAACGTCCACAAGATGTCGAATGAAATAGTCGAAGAAGGGCATGTCGCTGCAGGCATGGAGCAAAATGAGAACCGCTCGACCTTGTACAAGATATGGACGGATTCTTGGTTCCAGATCATCTTGATCAGTTTCATCTGCTTCTGCTGCCCGGGAGTGAATTGTTGAAGAGAATTCTACTGTAAAATCTAGGCGAACTAACAATTGTACTAGATGTACAATGCCCTTAGCGGTCTTGGAGGTTCTGGTCAAGTTGATCAGACCGTCGCTGCAAATGCGACTGTAGCTCTTCTAGCTTGTACTGCGGGAACAGCTCTTTTCGTTGTCGGCCCTATCTTCGATCGTGTTGGACCTAGAGTTTGTCTCTTACTTGGAGGATGGACCTACGCATTGTACTCTGGTAGTCTTCTATGTTTCAACGGTATGTTCAGCTGCCGAGCCGCAGTATGTCATCTACACAGCTAATGTGTACTCAACAACAGCAACCGGCAACGGCGGATTCGTGATTGCCTCAGGTGCCATTCTCGGTGTGGGTGCATCATTCTTGTGGGTGGCACAAGGTGCGATCATGACGACCTATGTGCCCGAGTCACAGAAGGGCCGCGCAATCGCAGCCTTCTGGATTATCTTCAATCTCGGCGGTGGTGTTGGATCTCTGGCTAGTTTCGGTCTCAACTTTAAATCGAAGACCGGAACTGTCAGCGACGCAACATACATTGCCTTGCTTACCATCATGGCCTTCGGGTGGGTGCTGGGAGTGCTCATTTGCCCGCCATCGTATGTTAGAGTTGCCCAGATGCAGGTCACACCGGAAAACGAGAAGAATTTCCGTCAGATTATTCGCCATTCCCTGCAGACTATCTGTAACTGGCGAGTGTTGTGCATGCTACCCCTCTTCTTTTCGGCAAATGTGTTCTACTCCTACCAGCAGAATGCCGTGAACGGTATGAACTTCAATATCCGGACGCGTTCGCTCAACGGCTCGCTTTATTGGATTGCGCAGATGTTGGGTGGTCTTGTCATGGGTCTCATTCTCGATATCCCCGGTGTTAGCCGACCAAATCGCGCTCGAATCGCATGGGCATTCTTGTTCGTCACTGGAATGGTCATCTGGGGTGGCGGCTATAAGTTCCAAGTGTGGTCTGATCTCCGTCTGGAGCACGGTTTGAAGCAGGATATCGATTACACAGATTCTGATATCTCAGTGGGCCCGATGTTCCTCTACATCTTCTATGGCGCCTATGATGCATTGTGGCAATCATTCTGCTACTGGCTCGTGGGTGCCCAGTCTAATTCCCCGGCCGCGGCAGCCGTTCTGGTTGGAGCATACAAGACCTTCCAGAGCACTGGCGGTGCAATGGCGTGGCGTATAAATGCCATGGAGGAACCCGCGATGTCTCAATTCGCTATGAACTGGGGACTTTGCATGGGCTCGTTGGTTATCGCCATCCCAACTGTGTTGGCTATAACTCTGACTAGTGACAAAGAAACACCAGCAGTGGAGAAGGACTTCCCCGAGACGGAGGAGTCTCGAGAGATGGCGAAGTCGTGATTCTTTTGTATATCAGCCTCTAGTCAGGGGGAAAGTGCGGAATATTTGCCGTCGAACGAAATATATATGTACGGTAAAAGAATATAGAAACCTTGCAAATTTGACGCTGCAGATCAGCTTCCTCGGATTCAGCCAAGATTCGGATGATCGTAGACCACGATTAGGGATACATGATTAGGAATATATACACGCCATGTCCCAACCGAAAATTCAAGATCATTTTGGGTTGATAAATTCCGTCGCCCGGCGGTTGAGAGGTCCTCCGATTCACCTTACTTGATGCACTTCTTCAGCACAGCGGTTTCCAGTAGCAACTTAGTGTACTGACGGTGTGCCCAAGCGGTTTTATCATCCATGGGGACACCTTCCGCCTTTCCGAGGCCCTGGTAGAAACAGCTCTTCAGTTTGAATTCGGCCACGCCTTGGTCCCGCTTGATCACAGCAGCGATTTCGAAGAGGCCGTCGGATGGGCGGACCTCACGGATACGTGGGGAGGCACCGCAGCGAACAACTATACGGTCTTCATCCTTCTCCACGACTTCGAAGTGGTCGGTAATAAGGGTTCCTACTTCGTATTTGTTTGAGAGGAGATCGGATCGGTCCCAGAGGTGGTCGGCAGTCTCGGGGCCACGGTACTTTCGTTCAAGGAAGGCTCGCTGGGGAATGTATCCTGGAGAGTAAACGAAGTTAGGGTATGTTGCATTGTGACGAGGCTGGTTTCCCCAATGTAGGACTTACCCATGCCACCCCAAACGCCGGCACAGAACGCTTCCACCAATTTGCCCTTCTCTTCGATCAATGAGGGCTGGATCTTGTCTAGGGGAATGCGACGCACGCAGACATCATGGAGAGTTGGGTTGTTGCTCGGGTTGAACTTCTTGAAAAAGGCCGATTGGAAGATGGGATCGGAGCTGTCCATGGTCTCGAAAATGTCATTGCGCGTGGCGCCCCAGAAGACACCGACCGAGGCAATGCTGCCGGCGACGGTTGTCTTGACAAATTTGCTGAAAATACCCATGGTTGACGAGGGGAAGAGGGGGATTGGAGGTAGGTGAGGAGTAACAAGAGGGGAGCGAGTGCTTGGGAGCGACAGCTCTCGGGGAAAGCTCCGACTGCCAAGACCAAGGCCTTGGTCCCCCACTCCGCATTTCACCAACTTCAGCTACATAGTTATCCCACGCGACCTTGTTGTACAGATACTTTGAACAATACAGGTCTCTATTTTTCTCTTTGTCGAAAGATAATTCAGATTTACTCTTGATACCCAATTTCAAAGCTTATAGAAGTTGTTTGTATTAGCATCCGCGTGACAAAGCCAAGTGGGCGGAAACGGCACACTCGGTAGAGGCTGGGGCTCGGAACTCTATATACTAGAACTGAGCTTCAATAAACCCGAAGCTGTACTTCGGGAGGTACTACTAGATGCTGGCAGTCATGAACCTGTACTCGGACTGCCAATTGTAGAAGGAAGGTGTGTATTTGCCGAGACTGCAATTGAGGTAGTAGAAAAAAGCAAAGAGACCATCGAAAGCCTCTATGTAGAGCTTCATGCAATCATACCTCGGTGATTAAGATGAAGGAGTACACAAGTATTTATTATGAAATTTACAACGCGTCGAAGAAAAGGTATATCTGAAAGGGAGAGACAAAAAGACACTCAAAAGACATCCAAAAAAAAAAACATCTTGCATACAACGTTCCTGATATTATCTTGAGCAAGGTCCTCATCCGTGGGTTACTATTCTACATTGCGCGTTCATGATTTCTGGCTTAATGCTAGTTAGTTAGCATATTTCACCGTGCTCTGCATAGGTTAAAGAATGGCCGGTTAAAATCCAGAATTTCCGATTGGATGTCTATATAGCTCGTACGGAGTACTCAGGTATACTCAAATATATGCCCTATCGAACTCAAAAATGGCGGATATACTAGGTCTCCGTATGTCCATAGATTACCTAGGCATGCCGATGCCGACCCATGGACCCGGTCTCGGTAGTACAGGTAACAGGGCCCGGTACCTAATTCCAATTGGAGTCGGAAAATTCAACCACATGCAGTAGAGATCCATGGACAACCATACAAATAGGTTTATATCGACCACGGTTACAAATTCTTAACTCTCAACCTCACAACTCCCTAGGTAGACCTGGTCTACCTATATATCCATGGATTGTAAAACGGCGGATTCTCACCTCAATTTTTTCTAAACTACGAACCACTGGGTACCCAAATATGAAAACCATTCAATGTTCTCTCCACAAACAGTTCCCCATATTCAACGGGGGTTATTCCAAATGCGTCCAACAGTCCCCACAATGTGTCCAAACCCTGGAACCCTGGAAGTCCCACGTGCACGCCCAAACTTCGATACTGGGCTCTAATTCGTACTTCACACGTAGGTGCGAGACCTAACCTTGGAATAAACCCAAACATGTGAACCGATGATCGGCAATGTCGTGCATTCTACAATTTTGCGACTGTTTCTACCGTTGGCCATGGCCCATGTGTACCACCGGTAGACCCCAAGGCCCCCCAACCGAGGCCCCAATGCGGGCAATTGATCGACATAAAACATCAAAATCAAGCTCATCACTCAGGGCTTGGATACCGCGAACCCTCGGAGAATAGATATAGCCGATGACGAGATCTGGTGATTGCCATACTGAACCAGAGAACGGCTGTTCTCAAGATAAGGAAGAAACCACCCAGGAACAGACCCGCCGTATACAGAGACAAGCAGTAGCTGGTCGCTCTGGAGAATCGATGGTGTGCTACAGCCGACGAAAGATATAAAATCCCCGGCATCCCTCTGTTCGATTCTTCTCGATCAAGCAGATCTGGTATCCTTCTTGTAAACCAACATTATCTTTATTTCATACAAACTTCCCTCGCTGCGCGAGTTTCATTGACCAACAATCTTTCATTGCTTCAATATTTGCAATACTTTCAATCCCTTTGCACAATGAAGACTTCATTTGCCGCCCTTGCTCTCGCTCTCTCTGGCTCTGCCGTGGGTGCCCCGTTCTCTAACGGCACTCACATTGCATCCAACTCTTTGTTGACTCCTGTTCATCTGTCGACCAAGCCGCCTCTCCCCAGCATTTTCGCTGCCTCCAGCACTGCGGGGCCATCGTCCTCTGCCAATCCGTCTTCTGGATCTAAGCCCCTGACCTTGGCGCCTATCCCCAGCGGAAGTGGTGTGAAGCGCGGAGAGGCCACCTCCATCCCGACCGACCTCCCGTCGCTGGCTTCTGATGCACAGTCCGTGGCGGCGGCCCTCGCTTCTCTCGGTGCTGGCTCCCAGAAGCGCGGCGAGTCTCTATCGATTCCGACCGACCTTCCGTCCCTATTGGAAGATGCCCAGTCCGTCGGTAGCGCTGTTGCCTCTGCGGGTGCACAAAAGCGCGGCGAGGCGCTTTCTATCCCCACCGATCTCCCCTCGTTGGTTTCCGATGCTCAGTCGGCCGCCGCTGCGCTTGCCTCCGCTGGAGCCCAGAAGCGTGGAGAATCTTTGTCGATCCCCACAGATCTTCCCTCCCTGCTGGAAGATGCGCAATCCATTGGTAGCGCTATCGCATCTGCCGGTGTTCAGAAGCGCGGCGAGTCTCCATCGATTCCCACCGACCTTCCGTCCCTGCTAGAAGATGCCCAGTCCATCGGCAGTGCTATTGCCTCTGGGGGTGCCCAGAAACGCGCCGCCGAGACCCTTCCTCTCTTGACTCCCACTGGTACTTTCACCCCTACCGCCTCCTTTGGAACTGGCTTCCCTAAGCCTTTCAGCGGTCTTTTCGCTTCCTCTTCCGGCGTTGCTTCTTCTTCCGGCTCTGCTTCTTCGTCCGGTATTACATCGTCATCTACTATCCTCTGATCTAAATGCTGGTCATGTTATTTCAGTGACTGCCAGTTATATGAGTAGTAGAACTTGACCGTTGTTGATGTTTGAAACTATGGGTCTTTCCTAGACATTATCCCGAATCATCGCTCGTTAATCATCACTCGTTTCAATTGGGGATAAATGGTTGTTTTGTTTGTTATTTTCACAACCAGAATGCATATATATATATATCAGACGATCAATTGAATCTTGCTAGAATTTGTGATCACACGACATAATTCTCGATTCATAGTATTCTCAGGTCAATAATATAGACGTTTTAATATGAATGAAATAAGGGATATGTAACTCCACATCGCGTGTTGTAGTCAGTCGATCGGGGTCTCGTTCAGGATTACTCCGCCCCACGTGCGGGTATCAGCACAGCCACAACAAAATCGATTCTCCCTCTTTTCCTTCGTAATGTCCCAGATCCCTCTCGTGTTCTTGGCCTTGGCCTGGTCGATCTTTTCATCCGGTTTTTCGAGCTTTACTAGTGGTCTCCTTTCTCTTTGTCTCCTCCGTAAACCTTAGTCTCTCATCCCCTTTGTTGGAATCATGGCCCGTTGTGTATGCATGAGAGTTATGTTGAGTGCTTGAAACCTGGTTTGGCAATGCGCTTCGATTGTATCAAATACATTGTCCGCCTTTGGGACCTCATCCAGCATGTCCGGTAGCGATGGGGTAGGGCGCTGGGCTCGACTTACTAGTGAGTGGTGGTTCTCGTCTGACACCCCTTCCCCCTTTTCCCATTGCCAGTTCATCCTCGCGGAGTATACGAGCATACGAGTATACGCTAATCGAGATGTGAATTAGGTCGTTTGCCGCCTTTCCGTCGTCAACCCCGAGGTTGGCGCCCAGTGTCTCTGCGCCCACCATACCTGATCTCCCTGATATGTTTGATGTTAACAATGCTCCTGACTCTGGAAGGGATGCGGCAGTATAGCGATCGTCGAGGGGGATTGATCTTTTTTGACTACACGGAAGATGTCAACGACGCACAATCTTTTGCCTACAATTACCTCCCTATCATCATCTCCCTCGTACTCGTCCTGGTTTGGACTGTGACTGATTTCGATGTGCTCCGCCTGGAACCATATTTTCAGTTGTCTCGACCCGAGGGAGCGCCGGCAACAGTTCTTTTCATCAACTATAACTTTGGCCAAACCATTCTCACCCCGATCAATGCCGCAATCCGCCGTCACTGGGTAGTCTTCTGGGTTTCCTTTGTCACACTCTCGATCCGAATAATTCTTCCCGCTCTACAGAGTACGGTATTGGAGCTACGCGAGGTGACGGTTGTCAACGACAGTATTATAAAAAGTTGGTCCAACCTGGTGGATTTGGACGCACAAGCGAACTTGATCTCACTACAAGCCGATGTTTTTCACGACGTGTTTTCCTCAAATGAGCTATTATCTCGGTCCCGATCCGCCAAGTACGCCGTGGCGCCCGTGGAGATACCCGATAGCGAGCAAGATGACAGCATAGTGTGGACTGTTGACCAGACGATATATTGGGCACAACTTTCATGCGAGGATGTTTTTGTTGGGGACACGCTCACCGTTACTGTCAATGAGCCCGAGGGGGAATATCCAACAATTTCGTGGAATGCCAGTAGTATTGATTTGGATGATGCATATGGAGGGGCCAACAAATGTGTGCTTGACTTTCAATACGAGAGTGTCTTCTTCCCTGGCACCGATTACACGCAAATACGGTATTGGGAGCCGATGATCAGTTCCGCGGCAAAAGAAGAAGGATTTCCGGACCAACCCCAGGCCTTCACGGAATTCGACTGCGATCCATATGATCTATATGGTATGCTCATCGGAGTCGATATTACCAGCCCAAGTGCGACTTTGACCTCGACCTCGACCGAGTACTCCGCGTCTGGTACGGCTTTTGCCTGTGACATCGTTTATCACAAAGCGGAGGCTCGCGTGAGTATGCACTCCAACAGCTCCATAATTTCTATTACAGTCGATCGAGCCACAACCCGCGAGCTCACAAAAGCCGAGTTCAATATTGATCATTTCCAAGCTCTGCTCTCTCAACGCGCTCCGTTTACCAGTGACATGCTGTTCATCCGTGAAAATGCTACCACGGGGGCTCGTATAGTGACTGAACTCCCTATCATCAGCCAGGACTTAGGAGATATCCAGCCTCTGCTGGTGCTCGACACATCGATCGCTATGACAGAGGCTGAATTCGAATCCAAAATTGCGCGGGACGTCAAGCAGACTTTTGTACTCACACTCGGTCGCATGTTTGATCCCGATAGTGCACCTATGGATCTCGCCGCCGAGCGCGCGTCGAACAGAGTCGCTATCTCTGTCGTTGAATTTGCGGCCCTTTGCTCTGAGCTCATTCTTGCCCTAGCCACTTTGACTACATTATACCTCCTTTATATGTATAACTCGCGTGAACTGTTTCTCCAAAGTGATCCAGGGTCCATTGGTGCCATGTGCAGTATTGTTGCCGATATTTTTCACCCATCCAACATCCTCAGTGAGCCAGTAGCGGAATTTCATCAATTCTCTACTCGGCAACTTCGTCGTATCTTCAAAAATGCACGGTGTTATTGGCGACCAGGCCCTTTTGGCAACAGGCTGGATATTGTCGCTGACGATGGTTTGTACCACTCCCTTGGAATGCTACTCATCCTCGAGAATCATAACTGACTGTATCTTCAGGATCACCTGTCCAGCTCGGCGAGAACCTCAAAACCCGTGTGGATCCGATGCCTCACTTCCTCGTAATTCCGTTCTTTCTTATTGAATTCTTGGCGCTAGCTGCTGTCATTATCCTCATCGTACTAGTGGTCGCGTCTTTGGCTAGAAATGGCTGCTTTCGCGACATGAACCAATCCGACTCGAGCGTGTCCCAGGTTGTTCTTTCCTTCCTACCCTCTGTCGTTGCATCGTCTGTCGGGGCTCTATGTACCTCTATTCACCGAAACCTCAGCGTTTTGGAGCCTTGGGTTCACTTGCAACGCGGCAACGCCTTGGCAAGAACGTCATTGTCATTGAACTACTCGTCCCAAAGTCCGCTCGCCATTTTCTTCAAGGCAGTTCGTAACCGGCAGCCTTTGTTGTGTGTTGTGTCAATTGCGTGCGTCGCGAACATGGCTTTGACTGTCGTTGCAGGTGCGCTTTTCACTCAAGAGTTGACAAGCTCAACGTTGGAGACCAGCGATTTGTCAATGAACTATAGCCAGTCTGTATTTTGGCAGACCGACTTCGCGGCGGAATTCACTGAGTATGATTTGATCCAGAGCAGCATCAGCAGCGGATCCCCTATGCTCTCTTGGACTGGCGCAGATCAGTCCTTTATCCCATTACACGTGAGCGATCGCAACCCAGATGTGACTTACAGCGCCTCAACACTTGGGGTTGGAGCTGAGCTGAAGTGTCAACCCCTTTCATCAGACGATCTTGTCTACGATACGGTTAATGGTCATCAATCTTGGCGCTATGCACTGTTTGACAATTCCTCCATGGAATGCATGGCACGCATGCCGCCCTTAAAAAGCAAACAGGAAGGAATCTCGCTATCTATCCACTTTTTGTCCCCAGACGACACTGAGGAATCGGACATCTGCCAGACGTCGACCGTTCTGGTTGTCGGCCGTTGGGATTATTTGCCGAACACCCCAGTCACCGATGACAACGCAATTGCATTGCACTGTGAACCACACGTGAAATTACAAAACTATTCTATCTCTTTCGACCAGAAGGGACAGATCGCTTGGTATGACGCTATTCCCAAGACATCCATCACCCATGGAACCATGTACGACAATGCGACCGTTAGTCTCGGTCAATTCAACAAAGTCTTTGCGGCTATCCCTAGCAGCTTTGTGGGCAATACATCAATGCAGAACGGAACGTACAACATTTCTTCCTATGATTGGGCAGGCTTCCTTGTTGCCCGTCTCTACGAACACGCCGATCCCGATTTTGACGCCCTGGACCCCGCTCTTTTGACCAACATGACTGACATTGTATATCGATTGGTCTACAGCACCTACTTCTCCATTTGGCGCGATATCTATCTTGAACCTCTTGCTCACCCAGTTCCGGCCACAGATGCCACCGTTACCCGCGTTACCTGGCGCATGGTTCAGTCTGCCCCGTCACTCGCCATCGCTCTAGGCATCGTTGTCTTCGACACGATAGTTGTCCTTTTAGTGTTCGGAACACGACGCGGCCGGTTCCGGGGACCCCGAATGCCGCGCTCCATTGGAGCAATCATTCCCTGGATTTCGCACAGCCAAATGCTTCATGATTTCACTGATACACACGCCTGGAGCAGTGCAAAACGGCATGCTCATCTCGTAACCCTGAACAAACGCTATGGCTTCCGCATGTTCATGGGTGCCGATAACCGCTGGCGGTTCGCTGTCGACCAGGAAGCAGAGATTGTCAAACCTGCCGATTCCCCCAACGGCCCCCGGAAGTTGAAGTGGACAAGACGACCACAATTGAGCTACAGGAGATCCGCAGTTCACCCTCTCCTCTTCTTCTCCCTCCTCCCCCTCATCCTCCCCCCTCATCCTCCCCCACCTCCCCCTCCACCTCCATCTTCATCTCCACCTCCACCCCCACTTCCACCTCCGACCCGATGACACTGCCTCTTATGTGATACGACTTTTCTTCTGATTTGCATACGCTATATTATGTTTCGGTTATATATTCATTCGAACATGGGCGTTTTTGACTTCGATAGCCCCCCTGAGATAGACGGTTGGACAAGCAAGCTGGTCCTTACTTTGTTCGCTTGCATTTTGGACGTCATGGCCGGGGACGTCGCATTGGTACATTGTAAAAAAATGTCCGAACATATGTGTGTTCGCTGCAACGCCTTTCTGACTGAATATGGCAACTATTCTATCTTTGGGCTTTGTGTGAAGGTTGCCAATGTGGAGAGACAATGTCTCGTGTGGCACATACATGGGAAAGATCCTTTGACAGGCAAGAAATTTCATATATATGACGATACTTCGAACATCTCGCATGAGTCCTACATCCTCTATAATCGACGTTGAGCAAGGTCGACCGAGACCAAAAGGGTATAGTGTATTTCGCTACGCACGGCATTTCAGCGTAGGAAGTGGACGACTGATCTTAGTCTCGGGTACGCTGGACTACCACAGATAGTTTAAATAACGGTGATATGATTTTGGTGGGACTTTTGAAATACATACACCTTCATTTCATCTAGATTCTATAGCAAGCTGTACATTATCGAGCTGAAGCCAAAACAAATATCATATTTCTTGTTCTACTGCGCAAGTCTGAGTCGACCATCAACCGCCCGAAGAAGAACGTAGAGTGTCTCCAAATAGGGAGCTTGGATTCCGAGCTCTCGGGATTTTCGCACTGGGAAGCCCAATATAACATCAATCTCCATTGGCCGTCCACTTTTACAATCTGTGTGCATGCTGCTCCCAATTCCAGGCATGGCATTGATCTTGTCCATAAGCTGGTCAATCAGACCATCCTTGAGCGGAACACCACAGGCACGGGCGATGTTAATGACCTCCTGCATCAACTGGCGTGTGAAAGGCATCGCATCCTCCGATGACTTCAACCATGACTGTGTATCCACCATAGTGAGCGTAGTCAACGAGTTCCATGCTACGTTCCAGACGACTTTCTCCCATCGTTGGATCTGCATATCCTCAAGGACCTGGAACCGGGTCTTGCCATTGCGGAGAAGATCAGCAAATGTTTGGAGTCGTCTTTGCTCGACTTGGGTTTCGACTTTGGGGTTAGAAAATAAGCCGATCTGCATATCTTCGGATTTGGTATGCGCCACAATTCCAGGACTTGTCTGCGTAGCTCCTACCCATGTCTGGGGAAGTTAGATGAGAGTGTAGAATTTGACGATGGGAAGTGAACCCACCACACAAGTTATGATCGAGTTTTCAGGAAACTGCTTTCGGAATGGTTCCTCATTACCGACCCCATTCTGAATGACGACAAAAGTAGTCTTGTTGGAGATGGCTGGCTGTAGTTTGGCTACTACCTCATCCTGGTCGATCGCTTTGTGAGCGCACACGATGTAGTCCACTGGTGGAATGTCCGCGAGAGATTTTACCACTTGTTCCCTTATTAGCGAAATATTGATTTGGATGGTGGATAGCTCATATACCTCGGTGTGGATGGAAAGTATGGTGGCCGTGATTTTCACTATTGATGGTAATTCCCTTTGGAGTTCACCTATTAATACTGGAATAGACTAATGCGCAGTACGATACTCACATTTGCTTTAACAGCCTCATAGTTTGAACGTGCCACCACTGTTAGCCGTACGCGGTTGGAGCGACTTAGGATAAAGGCGTAGAAGGAGCCAATCCTATAGAAGTCAGTATATCATTGTTTTTGTGAAATAGGCCTGACTCACGCTCCGAGCCCATAGACGAGGACATCAACTTGATCCGACATTCTGTGAGCAATGGAATACGCACATACAATGCACACAGAATGAATGGGTATTCCTTTGAGAGTCGACTTCCAAGGTTCCCCTCATCGGAGGATGCCCGCGTGGGGGTGGACTGTTCACGGAGAAATGGTGGAGAATGGTGGAGAATGGGGGTGATGTATTATTCTTGGCGGTTATATTCAAGCAAAAGATGTTTTGTAAGAGCACTGATTCAATTTATAGTTTCACGCTGGCTATCAAATGTTTCTCCAAACGACTGGTATTCACCATTTCGGGTGTTAACTCGTCGAGACTCGTAACTCCCAGAAAGACCATGTTTGTTTCGATCTCCTGTCGTAGGATTTCGATCATCCGTCGTACTCCCTTCTCGCCATATCCGGACAAGCTGAACAAAAAAGGTCTGCCCAATCCGACAGCTGTCGCTCCTAGCGCAATAGCTTTAAGCACATCTGTTCCGCGCCGAATGCCACCATCAATGAAGATCTGCATCTTACCCTCAATCAAGTGAGGCGCAAACTTTCGAATTTCCAGTAGAGTCAGAAGTGGTGATTGTGCTCTGTTTATATAAATGAGTATCTCTCGGTGTGGGGAAAGGGTCACAGTTCGGAGATATCATACGTGTCTTGTGAGCGTCCTCCGTGGTTTGAGAGTACAATGCCTTGCACACCATGCTGGTAGGCAAGCACGGCATCTTCCACACATTGGATTCCCTTGATGACAACAGGGAGATCTGTCAGTTGGCGGAGCCATGTGAGAATCCCCCAGTCGATGAATGGAGATATTGAGCTGGCCACGATTTTCGCTACTCCCTTTCCTTCCTCGGTATGATCGGTAGCCTGAAACAAGTTAGCAAATAAAATGAAAATCCAACAACACCTACACAGGCAGACTACATACCGTCACCGTTAAGTTGAGCCGTTCGTCCATCTCACGTTTCCCCACCACAGGCGAGTCGACCGTGATCCAAATAGCACTAGCACCAGCTCTTTCAGCTCGCCGTACAGTCTCAATAGACTTCCGAATGTCTTTGTTAACATATAGTTGTTGGAAAATTGGCTGGTTCGGGGAGGTACGACTCCTCATCACTTGTTCAATCGTCATGCTGGATCCGTTTGCGAGAACTTGGACCAGTCCTTCTTTGCCAGCTGCAGCAGCCAGCGCACACTCGCCCTCTGAATGGGCAAGTTTTGCAAGGCCTACTGGAGATATATACACCGGTAGCGAAGTAGAATACCCTAAAATCGCAGTGGATGTATTCATAGTAGGAATCTTTCGCAGGATACGTGGACGAAGGGAAATCTTTTGATATGCCAGAGCATTATTCCGTTTGCTAAGCTCATCATCAGCGCCAGATGAGTAATAGGCCCATGTCGTGGCACGCAGACTCTGATGGGCAACCTTTTCAAAATCTTGCAGATTGATTAGGCTCTGTAACGACGGAGGACTGTCACCGACCGGTTTTGGTTGCTTCTCAGTCACCGTATTCGGTGTGTCTTTTAGCTTGTCCAATTCGGCGGGATCAATGTAGCCTTGGAGCGCAGTTTCAGGGAGTGCTTCACTCAACAGCTCCGGTGAATGAACGGAGTCGAAATCCGCAGTCGCATCTTTACCTGCACATCGCAAAATCACGGTTGCACCCCCTGGGTGGGAGTCCAAGAATTCTGCTGAAGTCAGTCTTAGGTCGCAGCACCTGGAGGTATTGTGAGTCTCCTACCTGTCACATCGTACACAGCCCCATGGATCGCGACCCAACACGATTCTTGATTGTTGTGTCCGGTTATTTGTTGGAGAGTGAGTTTCATGCTAGACTATTACTTACTAGTGGGTGATTGCTAAGGAGAAACTGGCAACCCGTGGACTAAGTAAGCCCAACCCTATGCCATCCGCGATCACGTGACGGAAGTGCTTCCAGTAGATTAATTAGTTAGATCCTCTCTCTCCTCTTTCATTTCCTCCTCAGTCCATCAAACTGTATTTGCTGCATCCCTCCTGCCTTCTCCGCTGGCAAACCCCAACGAGCTCCCGAGGTCAAAGCTCTCCACAATCCCGTTTCGGACATCGTCCCGAGGTCCCCACCAAATATGACAAATGGCTGATTACGTCGCCGATCGACCTCTTCAAGAAACCTCCGCATGGCCTCTTTATCACATATCGGAATCTCTCGAGGAGCACAGAATCAGACACTGTATCACTGGCGATGCTATCATTCGGACCCTTGGCTATCCCTTAGTCATTTTGCGAATTTTATCTTGCGGTTGCAGACGAACAGCTTGAAGATGCCCGCTCTGTCGTTCTTCAGCAAGGATTCCAAGCATCCCCTGTCCGTGATAAATATGTGGATAAGGATGCTAGCGTTTCCCCTCTAGGCTGGCCAGGATACAGACTGGTGATGCCTTGCGCATCTCCAGCCTTCCCAGGGGTTATGCTTGTTCCCGCGAGTTTCTGGCATATGGATCTCTCAGAATCGAGTCTATTGACGAACTCATTCCTACATGATTCTTCACGATGCCGATTTCCAAAGCGGCTATTTTATTTGGATGGTAAGCGTTCCAGCGTGGATGCCTCTTTCAACTTTGTCTTGGCTGTAGTCCTGGTCGTGTACTGATCTTCTCTAGCTCTGATCGATCTTATTGTCGAAAACGCATTGAAAGCGGGCGGCAACCAACTAATATGGAGTTATTTTAAAATGCAGTATCACTATCTAGTCGGTTGCATCCCTCCGGATACTCTTCTCAGTCTGCCGCCGGAGGACAAATTCTTTGTGGACTTATATGGCAAACCGCTTCCGCCAAGAACCCGGGAAAGAGTCAGCTTAAATCGGCAGCGGATTCGACAGGATCTAATGAATGTTGAAGAGGCATGGAAGTCAATCCCCAAAAAGGCTCTGCGGGTTGAAGAGATACACCGTAAAGCTCTGGATAATCATCGAAAGAACCTAGGGCTGTAAACTCCAATACATCGGTCTTCTCTATCAGAGATAATCTGTCAATTCTTGGTAATTAATGTTTCATTTCCTAAATGAGGGGTTTGAGGTGTTTTGTAGCTTTGTCTGGCAGTGGGCTTCAAATCAATTGGGGCCGGCGTTGTGTTGGTCGTACTGGATGAACAGGTCACCATATCCTTCCTCGGTAGAGGGAATCCAGATGTCGCTGGCTGCTCCGCGACCTCTGTATCGTACTTTGTACTCAGTCGTCATTGCCCTTATTCCATCGGCGCGCGGGCGGCCAACTGGTCGTTGCCTTTTGTCAAGAATGCTTTCTACTGCCTGTGGGCCAATGGGTGGCAGTTGCGCTGGCTCGGGTGTACGCTCCCATAAATCCTCTCCGGGCGGGTCTGGTTCTAGATGCTCCACGCTGATGACAGGATGGATTGTCCAGGTTGGTGGTAGTTCTAACCGATACGCTAGGCGTCCGACGCGTTCGATGACTTTGAATTTTCCAGCGAAGCGCTGTGCTAGCTTCCGGGGTAGGTTTTGATTTGCCTGGATGTCGTAGCCGTGGCCGAGGCGCAAGTAGACATAGTCTCCTGGAGAGAACCATTTCCTCTGGTGAGCTTTGTCATAGTAGTTTTTCATTGCCATGGCCGCGTAGCTCAAGCTGCGCTCGGCGTCGAGACGGATTGTGAAATCCTATTCAGTGGCGAATGCTTGACGTAACATTTGAGCCGGCTGCTATCTACGGCACAGCAGAAATACTGGCCAACCGAGCTAGAGGTAGCATGCTTAGTCTGGATGCTACAGAAGATAAGACATCTTCTTTTAGCAGTGCCAGCAGACAAGCCAGCCATTATATACACAGACCACGCCGCCACAGTCAACATTGCAGTCAACACAAACCTACGTTCAGCAACTACAGAGAACCAAAATCTACGATTGGTAAGAGCAGCACAGTTCATTCAAACTTTCAGTCTAAAGGTTTTCTATCGCTCAGGCGCCACCAACAAAGTGGCGGACGCCCTCTCGCGTCTCCGGAGTACGAACCCCACAAAGCCAACTGAAGAAAATAACCTAGACACGTTTACCCTAAGGTATTGACGCTTTCCCCGCGGACGTAGCAGAAAGCCAGCCAACCAGTATGGTATTCATAGAGCTTTCCGCCACTATAAAAAGAAAGATAACATAAGGCTACGACGAAGATACGCGACTATCAAAAGTCAGGTAAACACTCCGGGACGAATAAGCTATAGACGACCTATAGCCAACGAGGCTACCCTACAGACTAGACGATAATAACTTATTATACCTAATATATAATAACGGATTAGAAGCACTTTGTCTACCAAAGTCTATAACGAAAGAAATCTTCGGCTTAGTCTATAATCAGTAAGCGTATTAGGGTTACGATAGATATTAGGAACGAATAAAGGGCCTTTATTTTTATAAAGGCGCTAAGCTACTTAAACGATACATCCAAAAATGCCTAATATACTTAGAGAATAGAGTTCTACGGCATAGGCTATACGGTCTACTTCAACTAATTCTAAGTCTACCGATCCTATACCACACGATCACTATAGACTTCATTATAGGGTTGCCCAAAACGCCCGAAGGATTCGATGCGCTCCTAGCGATAACCGACAAGTTCACGAAACAAAATAGATTTATACCAGGGAAGACAACTTAGCAAGGGGTAGACTGGTCAAAGTCAGTCTTGACATTCTGGTAGACAGCAGACTGGGGGTTCCCAGTAGTCATCATTTCGGATCGGGATCCAAAGTTCACCAAGGGCCTATGGCATGGCATCTTCACTCTACTCCAAGTTCATCTATTCTTCACTATTTCCTAATTTAGGGGTCTAGATGTAGGATCTATAATAATCCGAACTCCCACTAAAGTAAGAATGAATCTGAAATGAATCTGAAATGAACCCGGAATGAACCTGAGATGAATCTGAAGTGAATCTAAAGTGAACCTGATCTTGGCCGCTAGTTTAGGGGGTGGGTGAATCTTTATAGAGTAGACTATTGTAGTTATTCAGGTATTCCAATAGTAGGTACTCTTTGAACCACCTATGGAGTATAGCAACAACGCCAGTGACTAGTTGGCCATCAAGGAAGGCGCGATCCAAAGTAAGCTTTAACGCACTTTCCTCCTCAATCTTAGTGGTCATAGTAGGAATTGCTCGGCCTCCGCATTTTTCCTTCTCCCTCTTCTTCTTCTACCCTCTTCTTCTATCCTCTTCTTCTGTCCTCTTCTATCCTCTTATCGCAACACCGTTTCTTCGCCATATCTGGTTTGACCCTGTGGAGCGCGACGCCTCTAGTTGAACCTCTGCTAATAAATGTTCAGTTTCTATGTCCACCAACTCAGCAAAGATAACTGAGTGCGTCAACGCTTTGCGTGATGTCATTCCCACAAGCCTCATTCTCGTGGGGGCGCTGCCGCCAACATGCAAGGCCACAGAGTCACACAAGATGATGACATTCTGGTCCGCGACCCGGCAATTCTACACGATCTCAAAAATTTGGGCGACTTCAAGTTGGTGGAGGGAAAGTTACATTATAAATCGGCTCTAATCGATTTTCTGACCACCGTTGTCGAGACCCTCTCCTATGAGGAGGTTAAGCAAGCCGAGGCCGTCGAATCCATCCAGGGCCTCCGTTTCCTGAAGCCTGACTTTGCGCTAGCAGCAAAAGTGAGGTGTTCATATCTTCTGTAGGAAGACGAATACGGGATCTGCAAGCGACACTCTGATCTCCAGGATGCAATCTTCTGGGCTCGGAAGCTTGAAGAAGCCGGCCAGCAAATTTCTGACGCCTGCGCCAAACTCCTGCCGGTCAGCTACTATCAAGTGGTCATGATAGGGATGTGGATGGACCCTGAAGATTTTCAAAAGCTGGTGCACGTAGGCCTCAGGAAGCTCCTCCTCCCATGGGAAGAGAACTCGGCAGAGCAACGTGAATATTATTTGTGGTCTGCAGAATCGACCGATCCTTTTACGGTGGAGCTGGAGGATGAGGAGGATTATGATGACGATAATGACAAATCTGCTTAAGGAAGATGCTGTGCTTTCCAACAAGGCATGGTTTGGAGCTTAGTGTAAATAATCATATCTTTTACTAGAGGGCATGTTTTAACAGAAGATACGTTTCAAATACAGTCTTTCTTACATTTAATTCATGCAGCATGGTCGCAAGCTAAGCTACAGACAGACTAAAAATCTGCCAATGAGACTCCTCATTTATATAGAACTAGCAGGCCACAGTCTCCGACCTTTGCCGAACGAGGTTGGGGTTAAATGAATGCATTATCTTATACGGAGTATATATATACATGCGGTTACAAGAATAATAGCAGACAGTAAAATTATGGAAGCTACACCGAAGGGGGAAGTTAGGTCTTGGATAATCTGAATATTGATCCTAGAAGGTGGTTTATCATTGAGCTCTATATCTTTGTTCATCTCACTTTCGTATTCCTTGAGGTATCTTTAGATGTAATGATAGCCCCATCTTTCTTGTCCCGCATGAAAGACAATTTTCCCACCAACCAACAACCAACACATAAAAGCAGAATATGCTTATGCATTGAACCTGTTACCCCCTCGACGTGGGGGAGCTGACGGCAATTAGCTTAACCGCCCGGACTTCCCCCGAGGCCCCCGCGTGGGATACGTTTATGTGGGGTTGGGTCGCGAACCTCCTTCAAATATAACATGGTCATATCCCAAATTATATTGCTCTAGCCCCGGAGTTATACAATACCCGATAGATTCATTCCGTAACTCACCTCACAATGGCGAAAATCAAGTCCATCGAATACTTCCGTGTCAAGCCCCGCTGGCTGTTTGTTAAAGTCACCGATGAAGAGGGGCGCTTCGGTTGGGGAGAGGGTACACTAGAAGGACATTCTCTTGCTGTCGAGGGGGCGCTCGATGAAATTATCACCCGCATTGTGGGATACGAAGCGGAGTATGCCTGGATCTATCATTTTCACAACAGCCAAAAGGCTAACCGTCCCTGGCAGCGATATTCAACACATTTGGCAGACAGTATGGCGACTTGCATTCTACCGGGGTGGACCGGTATTCATGTCAGCTCTTTCGGGGATCGACATCGCTTTGTGGGATTTGAAGGGTCGAAAGCTGGGTGTCCCGGTTCACGAGCTCCTGGGCGGAAAGGTGCGCCAGAAGGTGCAGGTTTATGCCTGGATTGGAGGTGACCGACCAAGCGATGTTGAGGCTGCAGCGTGGGTTCCGAAAAAAGAGAGCAGAGTAAAAGAAAGCAAAATTCTAACAATCTCTGTTAACAGAAAAGAACGAATCGCCCAGGGCCTTAAGTGTGTCAAGATGAATGCCACTGAAGATATCAACTGGCTCGACTCACCTGCTGTGTTACAGTCTTGCGTGGAACGATTGAAGCAGGTCAAAGCTCTGGGTCTTGATGCCGGTCTGGACTTCCACGGTCGCCTGCACAGACCTATGGCTAAGCAGTTGGCCAAGGCGCTGGAGCCGTACCACCCTCTATTCATTGAAGAGCCTCTATTGTGCGAGCATCCCGAAGCGATCAAACAACTTTCCGAGCAGACTACAATCCCTATTGCATTCGGCGAGCGCTTATACTCTAGGTGGGATATTAAGAGGTTCTTGGAGGATTCGTCGGTAGATGTTCTACAGCCTGATATTGCCCACGCGGGTGGTATCTCCGAAACTCTGCGTATCGCAAACATGGCTGAAGCCTACGATGTTGCTATCGCACCTCATTGCCCTCTGGGTCCGATCGCGTTAGCAGCCTCCCTCCAAGTGGCCGTGTCGATACCCAATTTTGTTATCCAAGAGATGTCGCTGGGCATGCACTACAATGTTGAAGCTGGAGATATCGATCTGAACAGCTACTTGCTCGATAAGACAGTCTTCGATATTAAGGAAGGATATGTGGCTGCCACCTCCAAGCCCGGCTTGGGAATTGATATTGACGAAGACCTGGTACGGAAAATCAGCAAGGAGACAGAGCCTTGGCAACCCAAGGAGTTCTATGGACCGGACGGCTCTATTCGAGAGTGGTAATAATGATGCTATCATACCGATATTCCTCGTATAAATATGTGTTCAAGTGTTCAGCATACGACGCATTCACCAAAGCGGAGATGAGGCAAGATCACAATTCGAATTGCTAAGATATATTGTGACTTTTTCCATTGCTTTCTTTTTCTTCTCCTTCCTGGCTTTGGTTGCCAATTTGTAATATTCAATGCTAAGATGAATAGTATGATCACCGGCCTTTGATCCGTATGACACGTACGTTTCATCATCCCGATATTCAATAGACGCGCGCAAGAAGTTCCCGTGACAACACGACAGGCTTAGAAAACTATGATGATAGCGTCGTCAAGAACGAGATAATTTATTCTTCTAATGGAGGACCCCTGATCTCAAATAATCCGGTGCCTGCCAAATATATCGTCTTCTTTGTGGATTCAATCACCATATAAACAAAGACACCAGCACATAATGATTCTGCAAGCTGTCCTGGCGTTTGCAACGCTGGGATTGGCTGCCGATTATCCTGTCGTCTCCTTGTTCATTCCAAATGCCGACCCTCAATCCTTGTTGGGTGAAGTTCTGGCAGCGGTTCGTATCAATGGGAATGATCCACGAATATCCAACTAATTAGAAATAGCAATCAGCAACTACTACATACAGCATCAACTGCCCGCACGGAAAAACCAATAGCACCGAATGTGGTATGGGCCCTGGCCTATTTCTGACCGCAGCCCCAACAACTGTCGAATATTTGATAACCGCCGAATCCGACAACTTGTACGTTTTCTCAACTCTCAACCATTTCCACGAGCGGCGATGGGTTACTCATTGATTCAACAGATATAATCATGTCGTCTGCGAGGTCACCGATCTCCCGACAGGGGCTTATACATGTACAGACACTGTCACCGGGCAAGGAGCCGCTACGCCTGGTACCAGCACCTCAACCATCGCTTGGGACGAGTTATCCCTGTTGCCGGTCACCATAACATCAACTGCTGATGCCGTTGCAGCAACAGCGAATGGACCCACTGCGACAAGTACTACAGAGGCTTCGCCCGGTAGCGATGCATCACCCGCTGCTGCTACCGCAGTCACTACCCCCGCGGCGGGTGTGGCCGCTGCTACAGGCGCCACTACGGGTGTGTCGGGCGTGGCTGAAAGGTTAACGTCTACTGGTCTCCTACTGTCTTGTGTCGCAGTTCAAGCTCTGGCAGCATTGATGTAGTGAGTCTCCATTGACCTACTTGGCATTCACTTGCCTTACAACAATATTTTCCCCTGCCACAAAAGAGATTGCTATAAAACTTAGTCTAATAAAATTTAATATTAATTTGGATAGGAAAACATTCCCAAGACCCGCGCAAGTACTACATAGTCAGTTTGAGCTCAGTGGTAAAACTATATCCTGTGAAAGCTTTGGAACCTACATCCTAGAACAAGTACTATTCTGCTTATATCCACACATCAATAATATATTGTGAGAACTACATATCAACCCTTGTAAGGTTCAGACTCAAGCTACTCTACAGGCCGTAGGCGGACAATAGCCATGATCGCATGCGAAACTGCAGAGACCCAGATACGAATCATCTTCGCCGACAAGAGGCACCCCATGAATTCCAGTTGATGGTAGACCCGGGACAGCACTCCCATACTGCGTACAGGTGCAAGGTCCAGATGGACAATACCCATATTTGCAGCAAAAGGAACACAGCCCAGCGTGGTTATTGGATCCTGTTCCTGCAATGCAGGTCCTACCCCCGCCTCCGCCGCCTGGACTGCTACCATCTCCTCCACTATTATCACCTCCGCCGTTCCCACCGCCAGTTGGGGTTGAAGCTGGTGGAGTCTGAGTAATTGTAACGGTGACCACGACAGTTGACGGAGAATTGGAGCATTGTCCAGGGTCTGTTGTACTCGATGGAGAACTTGGAAAAGTGGTGCTCGTGCTAGAAGATGGAGCAGCTGGAGGAACTGTACCTAATGAGGGGCTGGGTTGACATGACTGGTCACGGAGTCCTTGTTTAAAGGAAGAGAGCCCATCTTGCAGGAGGAAATCGTTGAATCCTGCTGGAAGGGTTCCGACTAAACACCAGTTAGAAATGGTGTCATAAACAATGGTGACAAATCCACTTACCATATGCATTGAAGTTATACAAACCACACACGCATCCGTTGATGATCTCCTTCAAACTTGTCCCTGACAGAGTAGTCTGTCCATCACGAACGACCGCGAAGCTTTGTGAGCCAACTCCCATCGGAATCTCCTTTGCACTTGCCCCTGCTGGTGCCTCGTAATTATAGACAGTCCCGCCACTGTTGACCTGCACTGTGGCTGGGGATGTAAGTAACGAGACAACGAAGACAGAATCCGCCATGGATTCCCATCCATCTGGACGGCCCATGAAATAGTTTCCACTCCCATTGTTGGCTGGTACCATGCAGGTATCTGTAGAGTCGCAGTCCACCCCACGTGGTGCAGGACGATACCAGTAGACTAACTCATCAGATGAGATGTGATTGGTGGGAGACGAGTCCCCTGATTTGAATGCAGCAATGTATGGTTTTGAAATGTCCAGCCATCCGTCGTGGGGCCTGTAGTCATCCGTTAGTTGAGTCGGTCATAATGGCGGTTTGGATATTCTCACATGTCATTAACCCATTTTGAGGCTCCGTCATCAGTATGTGGTGAGTTCAGAGGACCAATGTAATGAGACTCTCCGTAGTCATTCCATGTCACAATCTCGACAAATCGCGGTTTCAGCGCAAGGATCTCATTCCATCTGTTAAACCACAGGAGATCAGAGGGGAAGTTCCAATTCTTGCTGTAAGAAACTTCAGGGCCGAAATGCGTGAAAAACCACGGCGATACAGCTGCTCTACCGTCAGAACACCAATTTGAATATCAACGAAGGAAAACACTAACGGGCAATATAGGCCTTTCCGCCAAGGGCGTCGACATATTCTCGATCCCCATCAGCTACAGTAATATTGTGGTCTGGAGTTGGTGCTTTGTTGTTTCCATTGTTTGGCCATGCCATCCAATTCAAGAGGCCGTCAACTGGCGAGATATCTGTCCCAGTAGCAGGGTGAAAGTTAGGTGCGAAAAAGATCGACCTTCCAGCTGCGGCTCGCAAAGCTGCAACATCCATTCCATCCCCGGCGAATGATGAAACAAACACCTTGTTATCGACGAGAAGTTGTGCAGGGTTGCTAGCATACTGGGCAACCTTCTGGCCAACTGCGGTAGCCTGATCAATATACCACCAGTTGAAATCAAATGAAAGAAAGACTTTCATGTCATTGTTGGCGGCCGATTCGTATGCCAGTTGGAGTTGTTGGTCAGTATAGGGGTCTACGCCGATGTTCAGGGCGAATGCATCAATCCCCAAAGACTTAGCACGCTTCATATCATCATCATAATCCGAAGCACTGTTTCGGTTGCTGGTGATTCCAATCTTTGGATTGTAAGTATACGTCAAGCACAAAGGAGGGAGTCCAGGGCATGTTTACCATAAAGTGTGCAAAGACCAGTCGCTCTGCCGACGACTGTCTTTTGACACGACGTAGGTCATGCTTCCCAGTAGATACTGCATGAACGATTGTAGATAGCAACGCAATCACGCCTAAAATGAATCGTATCTTCGCCATGGTTTGTAACTTTTGAATTCTTGTTCACGATATTCACATTTGTTTTCTGCAAGTCTCACATCCTTAAATATATTTTTGGTTCAGCAGATGACTCGGCGCTTCTCGCAGCTGACATACGAAGTTTAATCATCAGGAGAATGAATGTGATGTTTGCTATTCATCTCTCCGAATCCAATCACAGCCCTGGTTTCAAGGAACCATGTGGTTGGCATAAATCTTTTGATAGACAAAATCCTAGACTAGGTGCGTTAATGACCTCACAATCGGGTGATTGCGCCTTTTTTCCATTCCATTTAGGTACAGGGTAACTGCCGGGTATTTCTATGGGTAGTAGTCGTTGTTTTACTGTATATATGTGCCGATGGCCATACGGAAATAGGTATTAACATCACCTTGAGGCGGGTTAGAACCTTCCACGAATGGCATTTTCAATGTGTCTCCAATGTTATCCTCTTGTTTTTGGAGAAATTCATTTCTAGAGACCCTGTTTCTTTTTGCACTACGCCGGTTGAAGTTGTACCATGATCCACAATGGTAGAAGCTGTAAAACAACCAGGGAAGTACGCTCCAGCATGAATATAGTAAAATACCGGAAGACATGTACAAGATCCCCTGAACCTTACCTCATCGGCATTATATCAGTAACCTCCCGAATGTAACCCACGGACCAAACAATTTGTTTTGAGGATATTTGTATAGATCGCAAAAGCGGGCCTATATGAAGTAAGGAGATTCTATGATTCAACCTGTAGAGCCATTAACTCGGAAGCCAAATTGTCAACTGACACAATATGAATGTAACAGAAGATTTATGATTTTGCCTATATACATACAAATGTATCCTTTTTCGGAGAAAATCGTTAACAATAAAATCCCATGCAGCACCTGATTACCAAATTGTACTACCAGGAGAGCTCTTCTAATTAGGGTTCGGTAGCTCCGTCAGGAAGTACCTACGTATGTTAGATGGGAAAACTCAATTGGTATCAAAGTCATACTACCTATATATTTACATATGAAGAAAATATCAGCGGACTGTTGTAGTATTTGCGGGGGTTACATCCCGTCGAAAATTGTAACTCCAGAAGCCACATGGTCTTGTCACAATACCACATACTTAAGGTAGTTCCCTCTATAATGGAATCGTGTGCAACTTCAAGTTGCGTCATTGCTTCTGGCAGGCACCGAAACGACCTTGAAACCTCGGGACTGATTTTTTTTGGGATGATGTCGAGTTGGTAGAGATAGGCACGTGGTTCTTCATCTCCCATTTCCTGAACCAGTATTAAGCCGTCCCAAGCTGTGTGGCGCTCAAAAAGTGCTCGGACAAAGGCATTGAACTGCGTCATTTGTGTACCAGGCATATCCTCAAGGCATACTAACTATGTAATTCGTCACGAGCGTGTACATTGCCCTTTTGCCCAAATACTTCGTTAGCATGGCTGTGATTAGTCATGTCAAAGGTGAAAGTTTTTAGCTTTTTTTAACATTAGATGCCTGATATGTGAGGCATCAATCACAAGCTAAGACCTTGGATCTAACCTTAGAAGACATTGGATCTTTACATGAATCTCGTCTACATCTCGATTCTTTTCATAAATGAATCATGATAAATACATCTTTTTCTTTTGAACATCTAATTTTTCAATGCCAAAATATTATTGGAATGGCGCCGATTTTTAGTGTCTTGGCAGGATAAATTCCAAAAATAGTCGGTACGCTTCGCTATTTGCCCATATTTTGTAGACAAGAAATCAAAGTGAAAATAGAAACCAGTCGCGGTGGCTAGGAATCTATGAGAGGCAGTGCAAGCAAGACATCGTGTGATATGTAGTGTTTTGAGCCTCTCTCAAACTTCAACAATATACCACCCTACTCGAGATGGTCTCGCCCCTACTGGTTATAATATGTGTGTGCATATTATTGAAGATCACTGAAGCTTCAGTAGAGTACTAAAATGAAATATATATCCATTGAAGCGTAAAACCAGCCTTGTGGCGCGCCGCGCGGCATTTGCGTGTGCAGTTCAACTAAGGCTTCTCCACCCACTGTCCACTGGCTGTTTCCACAACGTTTAGCATAAAAATAAGGCACTAAACCATGGCAAGAGCATAATTAGAGACTAAATTGATGTGGAAATTGTTTTACCCGTCGGTCTAAATATACCACATGGCTGTTATTTCTTTTCCCGCGAATCTATCAAATCCTAAAACCAGCCTTAAATTAGTATTCTGACCCTCCTAAGATTCTTCACCTTTTTCCCGCTACAATCCAATTACCTTAATTGAAAAATCATGAAGTTTTCAATATTCGGATTGTGCACAGTGCTGTGCTCTCGGGTGCTCGGTCATCCTTATATCTCTGAAACCACATGGATTCCAGCCACAACGACATCCGTCGAGGAGTTAGTCCCACAGCCGACTGAGGTAGCCCATCTCTACGGCAAACGTGGATATGGCGAGATAATCCAAGCCAGAGACACCACTGCGACAACCGACTCTACTACATCTACAGACACCACAACCGATGCAACCGATACAACGACATCTACGACCGCAACCTCCACGTCGGAAACCTCTACCTCTACCTCCTCGACATCCACAACCTCTACATCTACCAGCTCGAATACTAGCTCGACTACCGCCATTTCCTCAACGACAACCACTGGCGCTTCGACGACGACGAGTACTTCAACAGCAACTGCAACGAGCAGTTCCACCGCGGAGCTAGATGGTGAGTCTCCAAACCCATGAGGCCCAATATTCCCACCATGCTGACAATACCTAGAGTGGAACCGCAGGGGTAACATAACAGCAATTGTATTTGGCTGTTGCATGATCTCGCTATTTGGCGGCCTCAGTCTGCTCTACTGCTTACGCAATAAAGCAAAGGCGCGACGAATTGCAGCCCAAAAAGAGCTAGAGGCTAGTCCGTCGTACTCGAAGATACCCCTTGCTGCCACGAAACACAACTCCGCCACTGATCTTGAGGTTACCCGCTCCTCTATGATGTTCACCAACAAGCCGGATACGGAATACTTCCCAGCTCAAGATGCCCCATTAGTTCCAAGCCATCACAGCCACAGCCACACTACCTCCACAACATCTCAGACTACAGTAGGTCAATCATCTACTAGAGAACACATGCCGCGAGCACAGAGCAATGATCAACATACACCTTTGGTTTGAGGTGTTGAATTTGCTTGTATATTCGAGTGTGTTCGCATCGCTTGGGGGTTGGGGTGTTCTTGATTGATATTTTATGTTTGAAGCGTTAGCATTAGTTTAGTTATAGAGTCAAATAAGATATAAATTCCACTTGATTTTGCTTGGATACCCGGAGTAGTAATATTAATAGCAAATGCCAAAGATCCAAAATGGCAACTGCAATGGTTGTGTCGGAAGAGCCGAAATCAAATTCTACAAGATCGCTTGTAGGGTGCTAGGATGGAGAGTCCCTGCTTGATAGGTGTTGTGATAGGGTATCACCTGACCGACAGGACTGTAGTCTCCTCTCCCTCTTCTTCTTTTCCCCTTCTCCCTTAGCAGTTAGCAGTTACCAATACAATTGCTCTCTCTCTTCTCCTGGCTTCCCATTAATAGGGCTCCACTGTCCATCGACTCTAAGATGAGCCACACCTGCGAGATCTTACGAGAACATGAATATTTCAGGTTCGTTTACTCGGGGTGTCATTCCTGGCAAGTTTCTCGTTTCCTCTTCCATTTTCTGCCCCCCAGAGCGAATATCAGATAGAAAGTGGAGGCCGAAGTTATAATGATTATTTTATCAAAAGAGTCAGGATGATTTAAAGCTGCTTTGCCGTGGTACTCCGAGCAAACCGCTCTTCCACTATTTGAGTTCGGCTTCGATAATGCCTTGCCCATCACCAGGCGGTGCCCAGAATTTGATAACCCGGAAACCAGCTTCTCCCAGTAAGCGAGTCCAATGGGACTTGGACCGCTCCATGCTGTTACAGAAGATCATCATTTCCCAATCCCACATCGCCGGTAACATCGCACCATCGCGATCTGCCAACACAAACTCTTCGATGATCAGTTTCGAATAACCTTGCTTCATTGCACCAGCCAGTTTGGTAAGAATGACATGATTCTCCTCGTCAGACCAGTCATGAAGGATGAACTTCATATAGTAAATGCGAGCGCCTGGAACCAATGTCAATAATGACCGAAATGAAATAGCGGCGGAAGAAACTCACCATGAATCGGTTGTGGCTTGAACAGGTCAAATGCTTGTTTCTCGATACGCTCCGCATCAATAGTGCTCTCTCCCAAAACATGTGGCAGATCTTCGAGTACCAAACGGCCTGGGGCATCAGGATATCGTGCCAAAAATCCCGCCAGGTCATGGCCTCGACCCCCTGCGACATCAACCATAAGCGTTTCCGCGTCGGGATTAGCATCACATAGAAGACGTTCTTCCACCGGGAACCATTCAAGCCAACCGGGTCGCGCGCCACGGTCACCTTCCATAAAAGTATTGCAATAATCAAGCTTCTCTGGATTCTGTGGCAACCAGGCCCAAATCGATTCATCAATCTTCTCGGTGAATTGTAGCGGGCCTGTAGTGGCGCCCTGTGGGTTTCGGTGGTCCTGGCGGCGGAGGAACTCGGGGACCTTAGCAAGAGTAGGCATGCCAACATCGAATATAAACTTGATCACAGAAATACTTAGTCTGTCAGTCAGCTGACGCGTCATCGTAGTCGCGATATAGACGCGCGTGTCGCATTCGCCAACATAGTCAATTCCAACTAAGATCCGCAAGACTCGTTCTATCCGGGCGGTTCTATCGTCAGTCGCCCAATCAATATCGGGCAGCCAATCGATGATGACTTACCAACTAGGATTGGACTGGCCTTTTTGACGGCTGCCAGATCATCAAGTGACACCGGCCCATTACGCTCCGTTAGCGTTGCGAATATGTCCATGTCGAGGGCGATGCGCACGCACATGGCGTGAGTAGGCTAGACTAGGTTAGCACCAATATCGTCACCCTGGATGGTCTAATAATTACAGAGTAGGCCAGATGATAGACCGAATCCTGTGGCTTCTGTAATGCATTCACCAGTCTCTGTGCTGCCTTCAGCGCGGCGACGCGATCTGTCTCTTCGCGCTGACTCCGGAAAGCCCCCAGTGACTCCGTCACCTGGTTCTGTAGCTGGTCAATTGACTCATTGCACACAGTGGTTGCCATCGTTGTATTCTGAGCGGAGATACACGTATGTATGTATGTATGCAAAGGGGGCCGAGGTTGTTGCGATTCGAAACAAGGTGTAGAATAACTGCTGGGAGCAAAATTGGGGTTAGTGAAATTGGTGGCGATAATGCTAGATTACCTGGCCCTTCACTCTGTCTTACGTCCCCCCCTTGTTAGATGTCTTCGCTAGTCATCCGCTAAAAGTGAGAAAGTGGATAAGCCATGCTGTGGTGTGCTTGGTCGGCTCATGATATTCGGGTTTCTCGCCCCCAACGTCTTGGAAACGGTAGTGCAAGATAGTGAAAGACGGCATCTGGACGGTCCTTCCAAGGCCAAAAGACTGCAAGCCGTCGCTCCCACATATTTACTGCTCAATATTTGTCTTTCCAATATGACAGGATTCCGACCTAACCCAGTGGAAACATTAAGTGCATCTTCACCTTTGTATGCGGAAGTTGACAGATGGTAACAAAGACAATGCATTGTTCACCAACGGCCCTGGATTCATGATCTTCAAGCCCCGTGGGAGAAGGAATGGGGCGAAATGACGAAAGTGGAGAGCGCTATACCCTAGCTAGTTGTCTTCCCGTCTCGGACCGCGCTACCAAGATCCACGTATCTTCTTGTAAGCCAGTGGGAATTTCTGACTGACTCAACTGTGGACCGACATATTAGTGACAGGGATGGAATTCTCAGTCTGTCTCAACGCCCTGTCGTGCGCCAAAGCATGATTTTATCAGTATGATCATTCATAAATAAGGGGCATGCTTTGGGATGATCATGGTCGTATTATGAGAGTTCTCTTATGAGAGTTCTCTTCCACTTTTAAGGCCTTCAAGTGGTGATAGTGCTGGCAGCAAAGTCAGCATAACACAATGAGCGAGCGCGCCGTCAATATCACGGCAGTGTCATGGTGCTTTGGTGGTATTGCCCTAGTGGTTGTTGGCGTGCGGTTGTACACACGTGTGGTTGCTCTGCGACGAGCTGGCTGGGATGACTTCTTTATCGCTTTGTCATTGGCGAATGCGGTAGTATGCTCTTCTTTGGTTCAAGTTGGCGTTTCGTATGGACTGGGACGCCATTTGAGCGACATTCCAAATGCGTATCAGCAACTTCAGGCGATCAAGTATACAGTTATAGCACCCAACTTCTCTGTTGTCAGTACCACAACTGGTAAGATGAGTGTGACTATCTTTCTGCTCCGGCTCATGGGACAATCCGCATCTGCACCGCAGCGATGGTTCCTATACATCTTGATGGCGGTGTCAATAGCGTGGAATGTGTTGGCTATTGTGGTCATCATTGGATTTTGCAGACCCCCAGAGCGTATCTGGAACCCGAAGGCGGATGGCTCCTGCTTCAGTCTCAACTTTCAGTTGGTTGCTGGAACATCCCAGGCAGCCTTCAACGCATTCAACGATCTGGCCCTCGCTGTTTTCCCTGCTTACATCTTTTGGCATGTCCAACTCGCCTTTAAGATGAAGGTTGTAATCATCTCCGTCATGGGAGCTGGTATCTTGTATCTCACTCTTTCCATCACGTATCGGGGACGTTGCGCTAACTGAATAGTGCGGCGGCGGCCACGCTGGTCAAATGCATTCTGCTGAAGAACCTTCCTGCACATGCCGATATCACCTGTGAGTAACCCTCAGGTCTTACGTATATTACTATGCACACCTCCTAATTTCATATAGGGTCTTGGGCCGACATCACTATGTGGTACACGTAAGTCTTCTATCGTTTCCTTTAAATTGATAACAAGAGCTAATAAAATCTAGGATCGAGGTAAGTTCACCCTCCTTATTCAAGTAACTTTAGCTCATGAAGATAATTAGATGTACATTATAATCATCTGCGCATCATTGCCTACCCTCCGACAGTCCTACTCAGTGGTCTCGCAGCGATCCCGCAAAACATCGGCCTACACGCGCACAGAGTCTGCCCCTCGACAGAAGCCAATCCCCCTTGTCCGTCGAGCCCCAGATGCTTCGTTATTTGCCACCTGTACCGAGCCGCAAGTAGACCGAGAGGACAGCCGTCATTCTAGCCAGGAAAAGATATTGGATCACGTCGAAATACAGAAGACCACAGAAGTCCACGCCTTTCAGGAACCTCGGCGGGAGAACGAGGGGAGCACACATTTCCCACAATCGAATCCCTTTCGGGGCATTTAAAAAAAGACCATATGCGGGAAGTGATCTTACACAGTGTACCTACTTAGCTTGCACAAATTCTGTCAGAAGAATTTACGACCTATACGGCGTACCTGACTAGACCTCCGCAAAGCCCATATAGTTCTAGGAAACAAGTACTTGCGCATCTGCACCCAACCAATATATATATCTACCACCCATGCTTTTTATCTAATTAATAACTACTAATATTAATTTAATACTATACGAATAACATATTTAAATGCGCTTTTTCTCAGAGAATATAGCAATATTATTCACAGATTTTTAATATTTAGTATACCACCCATTTGCCGTAATAACCGCTTTAACTCTGTGGTCCATGGTACCAACCAACCGGTCAAAGAAATCATGTCCTAGTGCCTCCTACGCGTATTCAATTAAATCTAAAAAAATATTTAAATAATCTAGTACCGGTTCTAGTAAAGTCTTCCAGGTTTAGATTAATCCGATCGATTATTTCTTTAAGCTTTAACTAGGTATATTTAATAGGGTTTAAATCCGGCGAGTACGGCGGTATTAGGCCTTGACAGGTCCCGCAGCACCAAGGCAATTTTGGTGCTGCGATATGGTGCTGCGATATGGTGCTGCGAGGTGCTGCGAGGTGCTGCGGGACTAAGCCAATTTTGGTGCTGTTGTATGGTGCTGTAGTACTAGTACAAAAGAGGGTTTGAACCCTGGCCACTATAAGTCTTGGTATGCATCTTCGCCACAGACATCCTATATTTGTCAATCTGTGTCCGTATGTTAAGGGGAGGGGGCACATACTGCTCGTCGTTTAGCAAAATCGGCATAGAATCCCAACCAATAATCACGATCGCGACAGTCGTCTTTATGTCCACTTGTCGCATTGAATCTACAGCGAGGCTGTTCTTGCTCCATGACTTTTTGAGGCGCTTTAATCCAAGGCTAAAAAGGACGGTCAACGGAATTTTCCAATGGAATTTCTGCGAAAGGACTTCCGATAACACACCTTAGGGACGGGCCAGTCAGAAAAATGTATGAATTTAGCTTCACTGAGAACTTCATCAGGATTCCAGACTTCTTGGTCATTGCCCAAGTATTTGGTGTGAATTTGACCACGGAACTCCCCTGTCAGAATCGTCCATGGACGATGAGGGATAATGAGTGCACTGTCTTTATATAGGTTGTTCACGATTTCCATGTCATATTCGGAACGACTCGCATTGTCAATAGCAGCTGTGATGCGACCAAACTCAAAATGGGAAGGCTGAATTAGTAATAAGTGGGAGCTTTGTACACGTTCATCAGGGTTGAGCCAGTAGGCTCGAGGTATTCCTAACGGACATGGCGGCAAGAAAAACAATTCATCCATGCCCTAGGACAATTTAGTAAAAAGGTATTAAAGAAATACGCTAGTTGTAGAAACACACCTGTAGTATAGTCGAGTCCGAGTCCAGATTGAGAACTCGATGATATTGAGTCTGATTGAAGGCGAGGAGTTTAGTATAACTCTTTGCCCATGTAGCTATAACATGGTCAGTGTTCTCAACTTTTAATCAAAGAATCAGGTGGCATATACCATCCCCACTGGCTCGACTCTGAACCTTGATAGGTACCAGTTTAACATTGTAAACATCTCGCGCCTTGCGCAGCAGTCGACTCTCGGCGCCATTTCCGTCCAGCGAAAATTCCGATGGGTACATCATGACTCGGTCAGGCTTGCTGTTCAAGCGATGCAGCGTTTCGAATATCATCACTGAATTGCAGAGGTAGGCTGTGTTGGTGACATATTGGGTGTAGGCAAACTGAGACCAATCCACTGCGTCAACGTCTGCTTGACCACTGTGGTGACCTGGAAAGTACACCACTGTAGGCCCGTCTGTTAGAATGAGCAAAGACTCAGCTATAACAAATAGGATAACTATGGCAATTATAGCACGCGAGGCTTTCGGAAAGTGTCGTAGCATGGTAGGTCCAAAAAGACGACAAACAGGCCCGGTAAGGATTCCGGGCAAATCTCATGGCTATGTAGCATGGGGGTACAAAGACACCCGATATTCGGACGAGACTTCGAAGTTAATCATGGCTTCTTTGTTATGAATCCCTACCGATGTCTCCCCTATGCTTCATTGTTACGATGTCTATTTCGGACGAGGACATCCTTCTGGGAGAGGGGATAATTGTAAATGATAAAGATCCTTTCAACCATGAAAGCGGAAAATGAAATGAGGATGTATCCGTAGGTGTAAGGATATAGTTATAGTCTATAGGTATAAGGCCTGTCAACCGGGTGAGGTACAATGGGATGGGAGGATGGAACAGTGTACTGACTGTGTGGGCCAAGACTAATTCTTGCCACAATTAAGGGGTCTTTCACGGGAAATTGTTTAGGGGGTTCAAGTTTTTGTATATCCGAGGCCAGGATATTAATGCGTTCCCCTAGGGTGTATATACTATGTTACAGCATAGCCACCCCAGGCGAGAGAATTTTCCCCAACACTCCTTTGTTCTGCACGGCGCCTTTTGAACCTTGTTCGTTCTGATTTGACTTAACCTTAGAATGAGGACAAGTCAGAACGAGAAGCCAATGAGGTAAGTCTCATGGGATGCAAATCTCAATCATAGTCGAATTAATGGCATGCCAATATCCGTAGGAGTTTCGATGGTGCAATTCTTTTCGGTGTCGTTTATTTTGTATTTGAAACGACCCTGAGGTCAGGATGGGCAACAATTCGGAGGCCAGCTTTTCTTCTCCTGAGTTTTCTTTGTTTCCGCTTGCTCGTCACCACGGCCAATAGACTCCTTCGTGACACTAGGGTTATCAAGGTAGGTCTCGCGGAACGCTCCGATGGATTGAATGTTTAGGCTGAAGTCGCCTTGCTGTGCCCCAAAGAAACTACAAAATTAGCACCCACTTCCTGGTCCCCCTTGATATAAAACTCACCTCCGAATCATGATCCGAAACCTCCTTACGTGCGACAAGTCCAATGGCCTGGCATCATCTACTGGCTTCCCCCGATATGTCGGCTTCAGATCCTTCCATGACAGACGCACTTCGCGCCCTGTCTCACTAGCGCAAAAATCATATTCCCAGACAAGAGCACTTTGTTCACGACCATCTGGCCTGTGTTGTGGGATTTCGTCTGTGAGGGAGAAGGTGTATCGATTTCCGTCTAAGGGAACAATGTGTAGCCCAATACCGTCGTATCCGGTGAGGTCCCATATTTGTTCGTTTCCGACCGTGCGCTGTGAGGCAAAACCGGCACCACCAAGTGTCTCGATGTCGAGATTGCCGTGGAAAAGTACCCCTAACGCCGTAGGCTCAAGATTTGACACAGACGATCCACCACGGACGCGGTCATCAGAGGTGGTCCAGCGATTGAGGTCCCAATCAGGTCCGAAAATTATTTGTTTATTGGCAGGGTATTCCATCGTAAAGCAGAATGGTGTTAGATGGATTGTGGGATTGTCGCAAACTGCGAACTGCCCAGGTGCAGATCGATCGATCGGCTGGTTCATTCGCAGGGTGACGTCATTTGTCAAGGGACAAACAAAATCTTGCGGCCTGACAAACAAGGCGATGAATATATATTCCTACTAGAGGTTGGTGTGCTCGATCTGATCTAGAAAAGATAAAATTGGGGTATATTGACTTTTACATGACTTCATATATATTAAACATCATAGCGTTTCTTTTCAACATCATAAACCGGCGAGCATGCCAATTTACTCCTCTCTCGCAGCCATGGACCGTATACCCTGAAGAGAACAGGAATCGGAACCATCACGATTGCAATACATCCCAGCATTGTACCCGCCCATTGGACTCCAAGGTTCTCCATCATTTGCCGGGAGAAAAGCGGAAACGAGCAGCCAATAGCTGATCGTAAGATGGTGTTCGCGGCAATAGTGGATGCAGCCCTGTCAATTGGGTTAGTGACTCGGTGTTTCACAGAAGAGAACCAGAAGTGCAGACAAGGTAACATACAACGAAGGATAGCAGTCAACGATATAATTGAAACACTGCAAGAAGATCAAAAAGATCCCCGCTCCGGTGAGGAGCCCTGAAGCTATAGGAGCCATCCAGTGAATGGATGAAGTGTATCCGGTCCAGCCGAACCTGTTGGGTGTTAGCTCGGAAAACGAAACATTTGAGGAGTTCAAGACCGGTACTCACCAAAACATCCCCCCTGCAAACAATACAGCTCCTATAATTGCTGGCCCAAGGCGCCATTCGGGTATAGGCTTATCACCATTGGCCGCCAGCTTCGCCTTGTATGAACCCTGTATCAAGAGGATATAAACGCCACCAAGAAGTTCTCCGATAATAATGCCGATAAACGCAAGTCCACCGACGCCCGTACTCATTCCGTAGACGCCTTCGAAGACAACAGGGTATGCCCCTAGCAGAGCATACATGAGGCCATAGACAAAGGAGATATACAATGAGACCAAAAGCAGTATGGGCTCTGTGACTAACATCACAATGGGTCGGGCAAAGTTGCTCCGCAGAAGCTCCGTGAGATCCACTTCCACTTCATCTTGCTTTGCGTGGATGCCCCAATTGCGAGTCTGTCGACGTAGGGTAGCTGCCTTGCGGACAAGGATGACGGGAGCATAAGTCTCCTCGAAGAAGACAAAGACGAGAACGAACCCTAGGAACACCATGATTGCAGAGATATACATGATCCACCGCCAACCCAGAGAACTCATTGCAATGAAGCCACCCACAAACGGTGCCGAAAAGGGTCCGATGAACACTGCCATACAGAAAATCGACATGACGACACCTCGTTGTGTATTGTTGAACAAATCTGCGAACACAGCGGGGACAACTGAAATGGGACTAGCCGAGAAGAGGCCAGCAAAGAAACGACAGATCATGATGGTTTGTATATCCTTGGCAACTGCACAGGCCACGGTAAAGATGGCACATCCGAGAAGTCCGAGGGATAATGGCCAACGCCTGCCGATAAGCTCTGATCCTGGTGCCCAAATGGTTGGCCCGGCTGCGAATCCAAGAACATAGAGTGTCACTCCAAGTGAGCCAATTTCGGTGCTTGTGTTGAACTCCTTGCTGAAGCCAGAGATAGCTGCGGAGAAGACAGCGCTGGTAAACGATCCGGCGAAGGTACCATAACATAGGATGCAAACTAGCATTATTCTGTAGAGATCTTAGCAAGTGTATCTTGGTATCGACAGTGAGGGATGATAGTAGACATACCGCCTAGGTGTAGACCAGTTGTATGGATGTAAGGGATCATTGGCTCCATCAAACTCTACGACATAGTCTTCAGAATCCGGGAGCAGAGGCGGATACTCTTTGTTGGCACCCATAGGAAGCCATCTATCACGGGGGGTAGGCCCTTTCGTAGAGCCTACTGTCGTTTTCTGTTGCAGTCGATAGGTATTGATACGGGTAAGCTCGAGAGAGTTGATTTGTTCAATTGTGTCGTCCGATTCATCGCTGCGAGAGTCGACGGGGGAGTCGATATCTGGCTCATACTTGTTTGGGTGTTGGTTGAGATGCTCCATTGTATACTGTCATATCAAGGGTTGGGGATTAGACTGGATGTTTGTGTGGAAGTACACGAATGTCGAGTCGAGGAAGACAACATAGTATATGTCCCGATTTCTGTCGGCCCATTGATCACATTTTTTCCTTCCTAGTCTTCTCGGTCTTCGGCCCAATCCTTGATCCATTGTAAAATGGGCCCTGATTGCGGCAAAGTGAGCTCAACGAGGGCAAAAAAACACATTTAGAAGATCCATACTTTTCCGCTGTGGCTTAATGTGCTTTAAATATCCACTATCCAGTCACAGTGCCCTGACAGTGTAAGGCCGTGACCAGTTAGAAATCATGTCTTTCTCGGCTAGGATCGGAGGTGTGGCTGACAGCCGCTGTGGAGTGGTCTGCCGAGGACAACCGCTCATAGCCGTTATCAATTTTGTCTCGGGCAACGAAAACTCTTCAATATCATCTTGTTTGCACGCTGGAAATAATCATCAATGACACCACGTCTATATCCGATCCCGACTCGGCACGTGAAACTGGTTTGGTGTGTTTCCCGTGCCGAAGCCGTCGGGGTCGGAGATCGGGACCCAATTCCACTATATAAACGGGATACCCTCACTGTATATGATAAACAATTGTTGCGATGGATTCATCACTGGCTTCACAAGCAAAGCTGGCGGTCTTGCCATAAATCCATACATGATTTCCCGCTACAGAATCTCATCTTTCCCATAACTATTCCATACCGGTATCAGTCACATGACCCTCATACTTCCTATCCGGGAACTATGAACAGCTTTAGATTTACAGTTTGTTGCTGTCCTCAAATCTGATAGGGTGACGGACATTTAGCTTGAGTGGAGATTTCTGTTAGGCCGCTAGGCTGCCATCTTAGGACTGAATGGTAGAAATATACAACTCGACAATGTATGGGTAACCAAAATATATATAACACAGAATAAACTTCCAGACCTCAAAACCACTGTGATAGACTATGTCGATACAAAGGTCGATGAAAGGGAAACAAAACACGTTTCCTCGTCTGATAGCTATACCGGGTCACTACAATCTTGCAAAATTCCAATGGTCGTTCGGACTCGTTCCCGAGGTCATTTCCCCATATTACGTAAAGACTGCTACTAGGTACCTCACCACCATGTTCGCATGTCGGGTACTACTAGGATCTGAATAGAGTATGCATATGCACTGCAATTAGTACGGAATACATATATATAATAAAGCCGAGACCGTCGATGTAGCACTATAATGGAAGCATATTAGTGTAGAAATGTTTGCTCTGGGAGTAGCCATACAATCGGCCCCCACATTCCCGATAGGACTTGGATTTCCTGTCTTGCATATGCACAAAGTAAAAGCACACAGGGGGCTATAACTGTGTATTGGCCAACTCTTTTTTACATGAGTTAGTATTCCAACAAACGTTATACTACATAAAACATAGATATAAAGTGACAAATTACACTACTGGTCCTCAGTCAATTTTATATGAACCTCATTTGAACCTCTTACTTTTTAATTATATGCCCCCACTTCCCCCCACTTCGAGGATTCTCTCAAATTACAATATTACAATATGTGGTATCTGTACAGACTAGTACCAAGTAAATCGATTGGCGTGGTTGATTCAAGGGCCAAGGAGCTGTTGAAAGGTCTCTTAGTCTTGGCCTATTACAAGGGCATTCCGAATTGACCCAGACCCCATAGACAACGCCGGTGAAGAGCGGATCTCACGGGGCGGATATATTGTGTTATCCATGAATCAAATGCGCTGTAGAGATCCACCGGATATCACCCCTCAATCCTTCGGCGCATCGGATCGCGAGAAATTACAACGGGGGCCAGACACTTTATTCCGCCACTTTCTAAGGCTTTCTAAGCTTAAGAATCCTCATATTTGCAGTTTGCTGTGGATTCCCAAGTTTTCAACCACCTTTTCATTGAGAATCTTCGACCCACGTTTCGAAATCTCTCCTTCTATCACCACAGTCGGACGTGACTTTTCTGCCCCTCTGGTCTGGGTAATATTTTCTCGAATAAGCTCTGTGCACCATTCTCATTTCAATCAGCCAACTTGTGCAAAATGGTCCGCATCCTGATAACAGGTTCTACGGATGGCTTTGGCCTTGAGGCTGCCCGTCAGCTAGTTCAGCGTAACCACACCGTCTATCTTCACGCGCGTAGCCAAGAGCGTGCAGATGAGGTCAAGGCAAAACTCCCTGGAGCTGCAGGAGTGCTGGTTGCAGACTTGACAAGCGTGGCAGAGACACGCAAACTTGCCGAGGAAGCAAATGCGATTGGTGTCTTCGATTCCGTCATTCTTAATGCCGGATTGCTTTACGGCCCCTTCCGCAAGACGTCTGATACTGGCGTGCCAGCCATGGTCTTCGTCAACGTTATTGCGCCCTATATTCTCGCTTGTCTCCTTAAACAACCCAAGCGTCTTACCTTTATCGCTTCTGTCCTGCACCGGGAGGCCAACACCGACGTGAAGGATATCTTCTGGCTTGAGCGTGGGGAAAAGGATTTCCAGGATTTCCCAGCATACTGCGACTCGAAGCTTCATGTTATGCTTCTTGCTAATGCTGTTGCGAGACGGTTTAATGGCACTTCAGTCACGTCTGTGCATCCTGGATGGGTTGCTACCAAGCTTGGAGGTCAAGGCGCTACCGACAAGCTGGAGGATGGCGTGGAGACATATGTCATGATGGCTGAAGGTGATTATGATGAAAGTCTCACTGGTGTATATTTTGAACCCAAAAGGAAGATCGGTGAACCTCTTGCGGTGATAGCCGACGAGAATTTGCAGGAGGTCGTCGTTAAAGCTTGCGAGGATATCACCAGTCTTAAGCTGGCAGCTTGAGATTGGGATTTCGGCATCCAGTCATTATCGGTTAGCTTTAATTCATGAAATTATGGTGTCCTTCACAGCAAATAATTTAGATCACTGTATTTTGATTAGACTCAGGGACCAAGGTGTACTTACCGGGGGACGTAGAGTGCACAGCGATACTCGGAATTACCAGACAGACGAAGTCATGACGCAGGTTTATGCTTTCCATGGGAGTTAGAAACCGAGGAGTCAATGATATCCAGAACGAGCTCTAATCAGATCAACGAACGGTCGCAATATCTAACATATTTCATAATCAGCCTCAATGCAGTCATCTAGAGTATCAGCTAAAGCCCTCGAATTCACCCAGTCCATGTCACAAGGTTAGGTAAGATGTAAAATCCTTTCAACGTCACAAAGTTGAAGGGTTTCAACGAGTAATATAGGAAAGAGAAGTATCTTTATGAAGATGCCATTATGGGTGGGTGATGAGAAACCAGGAGAAGAGAGAGAGAGAGAGCAATGCAACTGTATTGGAAGTGCTAACTGCTAACTGCTGAAGAAGAGGGGAAAAGAATAAGAGGGGGAGGAGACTATCTGTAGCTGGCAGTCCTGTCAAACAAGGTCAGATGACACCGATCCCAACAATGGGGACAGGAGAATGGCGGTGATTGGGGTGTTTCTTCCTTTTCTTTCGCTTCCTGTGGCAATTTACCATGAATTGAATAAGCCGCTGGGTGTAGTGGGCAATCAGTTTGACCAACGTCCCAAATCTTGCTGCCACTGATGGTTCATCTTAGATCCAAGTTTATAAATTGAAAATCAGTCTTGCATAAGCCGTTTGTATCGCCGAAGTTATATCTAGCTATAACAACAACAAGGGGGAAATATCTAAAAGGAGGTCTACTCAAAAGACGCGACAAGGCCGGTATTCTTGTATGGTATCGAGTGAAATCTCCCGTGGATACAAGTACAATATCGAGTGTGTTGTCTGCAGACTTCCGACACAGGCATCGCGAGACTTTTATCTGTTCACTTCTCGCGTGCCAAATTCATTATAATACAATATCTAGTCGCTCAGCACTAGATAACCGAAACTCCAAAAGAAGGAATAAACAAAAGACAGGAAATATGTGCTCACGCATGATAGCACAATCAACCACCAAGTATCATGAAAGCCACGAGTCCAATCCAACCAGCCACGAAAACTGCGGTCACGATGCCAGCGCCCGCCTTCTCAGTGGTTGTCACTGTGGTCGTTTGAGTGGAAGTAGTAGTATCGCTTTCGCCTGCCGTCGGGTTGCTAGTACTATTTCCACCAGTTGCCGAAGTTACCGGCGCAGTATTGTTAAAATTGATCAAATTTGCTGTGAACACCTTTGTCACGCTGATTTGTTCTTCCATTCCCATCCACCCGTCCCATGTAGACTTGTACCACCGGACACCACAAGTGCCATTGCTGTGGCCAGTGCATGATGCAGCGGCTGCCTGGGCTGATGTTTGGAGCTTCGGGATAATGCTGTCAAATGCTGATGGAACAAGCACAGCAGTCAAGGACAACCAGGTAGACGTCAGTCCTTTGAACAGGATCTCATTGTTATTGCAGTTTTCTGCAGGTTCACAGTAATAGTCCTCGATAATTCCACCGGTGAGGAAAAAGTTCTCGAACGTCTTGTTCAATAGGCCATTTACTGCCGTCAGCCATTGAGACTGGGCAGTCCCGTTTGTCTATAAGGAGGAGGGGGTTAGCATTGACTCAACAAGAAAATGTGAAACTCGAAATGGGGATTACTCACGTAGTTGTACATATACGCTGCCCCCATCAGGTATGTGCCATAGTTGTACGTCCATTGGGCATTTCCCTGGGTCGCACAATCATTGTCAACATCCGTGGAATCAGCAACATTCCATGTTGAGTTGCTCAGCAAAGGGGATGAGACAGACCAATCCCAAATCTTGTTAGCCCATTTGAGATAGATTGCATCTCCGGTGTAGCGGGCTAGCCGCGCAGATAATTGAAATAACCCTCCATTAGAAATAGAATTTTTCATTCCGTAGCCCGACTGGTAGGGCCAAATTTGCCACCGTAGACCACCGCCACAAGAGGATGTATCCCATCTTTTGATCTGAGTATTGAAGACACCCTGGGCTAGAGAGAGCCATGAGAATCCAGTCGAGCGGTCCGGGAATGAGTATTCAGTGGCCGTCATAGCTGCTAGACCCCAGAACATCTGATCGTCGTTTCCCTGGGAGATGACCGGATTAGATACGAAGGTATCATTGATTATGCAGACTATCACCCATGCTCACCAGGTAAGAACTGTAGTTGCTTGGCATATAGTCCCCGTCTGTGCCTGATTGCCATTGCAATCCAACACTTAGTTCCTCGTTGTATGTTGTGTCGCCAGTAAAGTGCCAGTATTCTAAGAGGGCCATAAAGAGTGGAGCTCCTTCCCACCATTTGTCTGGAAAGGCTCCAGGGATTTGACCAGTCTCGTTGCCGTAATAGTATTTCATCATAGCGTAAGTCGTCGTACTCGCGGCATCTTTGATCGACTCTGTTATAAACTCAATCGTTAGCTTCTCGTCCCCCTTGGTAATTGACGTAAAGGGAGAATATAGACTCCACCACGTACGTTCATCGGTGATATCCAAATCGATTGCGCGTGCTACGCTAGAAAGGATGAGTGCAGCAACAGCGCCTCTGAAGGGCGACCACCCTCCGAGAAAGTACATACTATCAAGGTGATGTATGGGAAACCATATAAACTTCACCAATGAGAGATATCAGTGAATATGCGTAGAATGCTATGCTCAAGAGAAGTCACTGACGCATTAAAGAATGAAAGAAAACAATTTCCCCCAGAAATGGACACTAGGAAATCTCGCTTTCATAATCTCGTTTTTAAATATAGAAGGGCATGCGTAATCCTCGGCGCTAGCGTCGTCAACTCATTTCATTGTGGAGTGTACCTAGGTAAGCCCAGTTGTGGGGGCAAGTGCCAAGCTTTTACAAGCTTTCTTCATTTTGATCGAAGGATCGTGAACATCATGCAGAGTATAGAGTAGATCTTGATCGTCCCGTCCGTTCCTCCGATGATTGGCTTCATATTTGGTCTGATCACTCATTTTTTTAACGGGATTAACAAATCACGAGAAGAATTTTCAGGTTCAAACAATCAACGTGTTTACCGACTCCCAATTGCTTCTCTAGCTAAGTATATCCTTTGTTATATCTTATACAACCTGATTATATAAGATATAAGCTTACCTAATATCACTTCCCTACTGAAAATATTATAGTCCACTATAGACTATAATATATTATCTGCTGAAGTGCTAACAGCTTTATTGTTCTTTAAGCCAGTAGATAGAGTTTCTATAGGCGTATATAGGTCTTCCCTAATAAGAGAAAACCTATATACGCCTATAGAAACTCTATCTACTGGAGCGTAAAGAACAATAAAGCTATATCTATTTTAAAGCTTTATTGTGATGACGGTCCCCTTCTATATCTAAAAGATATAGAAAGTGCACAGGAGGCCTGGCTTCGACTCTCTCGTGCTTGTGAGCAAGTTCCCTTCTCCATCGGTACCCGCGGTAGTGAACGATTCATAGAGCAGGACTTCCCAATACCCAAAGGCCAGCGATGAATGTAGCAGTCCATCCAAGGCCGATGGATTTGATTAAAGGGGAAGCTATAGCCGTGGCTCCAGCGCCCATAAGGCAGCCAAATAAATTGTTTGCTGCGCCAGCGGTGGCGGCGGGCTGGTAATTGATATCCACAACCAAAGTACTCAGGGTGTTGAATGCACTTGTATCGCAAAGGGACCAGCCAGTGAATTTCGATACTGCATCACCCAACCATAAGCTAAGACGCAAAGACAAGCCATATAGATCAATGGAAGAATAATCACCAGGCATGCTCGTTCGATATCGAACTGTTCAATTTCCTGCTGTCGGTTGTTGTGAATGATCATACCCTGCAAATGCACCTCGCGGCGGAAGTTCCAGTCCAACAGTCACTTATGCTCCCAAGGCCGTGTAAATACAGCACAGTCCAATTTCGATAGTTGAAGCCAAATCGACTGGCCAACTCGGTCGACAAAGTGCTAAAAACAGCCATGTACCTTGCGTACAGAAAGGATCCGTACAATAGAACCAACCCCATTTCCTTTTGCGTGGCTATCAAAAGAGCTCAAATTGGGTTCAGGCGCTTCTTCAGTTCCTAAATGGTGGAGTAATCGGCAGTCACTTGTCGTTCGTCGAATGGTGATGTTCGTACGAAGTATGTTGTGATAGTCAAGTTAATCAGCGACACAGAAACATTCATGTCGCTTGCCAGGGATTGGAGGGCCGGCAAATGCTGGACAGAGGTGAAAATAGGGCCGCAAAGGATCCTGCCATAATAATGAAAGTATCACACTGAAGCGGGACATGTTCATCGCTGATCGTTTGTTTTTTCCTGGTGAAGTTCTGGTTTTTCGGACTGATTCAGATTAGAGTATTGGTGTTTCCCTGCTTTGACTCCATGCTGTACCTCACACAAGGGCGATCGATAGACGCAGGTCGATCACACAAGAATCGGATGGGTGCATAGGCTGCGAAGTCTAAATGGTAACGTCATTTTTCAGGTGCCAGCCACAATATGTGTATTTCCTTTATCGCGATCGCGCTTCATTTCAAGTTCAATTTTTCCTTCTTCTCATCTTTCACCTGGCGTTAACTAGCGGACCTGTTACCGGGATTACCGGAGAACGAGGGTCGACAAGTGAACAAGTGGGTCACGTCTGGAGCTGAATGAGCTTTGGCGGTCGGACCTTCGGACAGGAGGGCCACGTGATATTTGATGCCTTAGGCATAAATTCATATGAAATTAGCAATGATTTTATGAGCTGTCCATAAAATATGTCCATGCATCCATACATCCCAAATTGAAATGACAGATCTTTCTTTGCTTATTTGGTTACATACATGTCATATTAAAATATAACTAGTTATGTAGGGCGGTGAGTGAAATATGATTGAAGGGGTGAGCAAGGTTCAAAGTTTCCTTCGTCTCCGAGCCTTGACGTCAAAACACAACATTGAAGGCATTGAAGGCATTGGAATTCTGTGTATAGATTTATAGACCGGAGTTTCAAAATGATTGCCATTCAAACGATTATAATATTGGCCGCAGGCCTCTTTGGTGGTCTAATGCTGGCGTCCCCTTCCCCTTCAATGTCGCGTTCGCCGATAATTGACTTAAAATATTCTCAGTATCGGGGGACCTCGCTATCCAATGGCGTTGATCAATATCTCGGGATGAGATACGCAAAGGCACCCTTGGGTGGTTTGCGATTCCGAGGCCCAGAAGATCCAGAAGATACTGTTGGGGTATTGGATGCATCATCGGTAAGACTGCTTGCTATCCACCCTGGTTGCAGCGCGCTGAAATGACCTGGATAGTTCGGACCCCTTTGCGTGGGGGTTGGAGAGTCAGTCAATGATTCTTTAGCAGAGGACTGTTTATTTATCAATGTCTGGCGACCAACGAATGCCAGTGCGGATTCCAACCTCGCTGTCTGGCTGTTCATTCAAGGGGGTGGATATGCCAACAATTCGAATGGCAACTATAACGGCAGCGAAGTCGTTCAGCAGTCCGGTCACAACATTATCTTTGTCAACTTCAATTACCGCGTCGGTGCCCTTGGATTCCTTGCCAGTGAGAACGTGCGAAAAAATGGAGATCTCAATGCTGGACTACTCGATCAGCGGAAGGTACTTCATTGGGTTCAGAACCACATTCGCAACTTCGGAGGCAACCCAAACCATGTAGTCATTCACGGTGACTCTGCCGGTGCAGGCTCAGTTGCCTATCATCTCACTGCGTATGGTCAGCGCAATACAACCCTTTTCATCGGCGCAGTGGCAGAGTCGCCATTCTGGCCTACTCAAAGAACAGTTGCACAAATGGAGTTCCAGTACGAACGATTGGTGAAGGATGTTAGCTGTCACAAAGCAAAGGACTCCTTGGCATGCTTGCGTTCTGTGGATATCAAAACAATCCAAAAGTACAACGTCGACAAGCCGTTCCCAGCGGGCAGTCCCACTCCAGCCCCCCTGTGGTATTTTCTTCCTGTTGTGGACGGAGACTTGATCCGGGACCGCCTTTACAATCTGTTCAGTGAAGGAAAGTTTATTCATGTGCCCTTATTAGTCGGGGATGAGACAAATGAGGGTACCGAATTTGCATATAATGCAAGTAGCAAGTCCCAAGTGGCTCAGTTCATGAAGAACAATTATCCCGGACTCTCTAATAAGCAACTCGCTACCATCAACAAGGCATACGAGCATGTGGAGCCCCTCCCTAAGCACGCGTCTCATTTCGCATCGGCTGCAGGCGCTTATGGAGATTCGACCTTCACTTGCCCAGGAAACTTTATGACTGCAATGGCCGCATCATTCTCGTCCAACCCCGTCTGGAATTATCGGTACAATGTCCGCGACCCCACAAAAATTGCAAATGGGATGGGTGTCCCTCATGTTTTCGATTTGCCTGCGATTTTTGGGGTAGAGGGAACCAATGAGCCAACCTATTCATATGCCAGCTCAAACGCAAAGATCGTGCCCATCACCATGAACTACTACTTGAGCTTTATCCAAGTCTTAGACCCCAATATTTACCGGTACAAAGATGCCCCTGAATGGCAACCATGGGGCTCAGAGTTCGGGCAGCGACTCAAACTCGAGACAAATTCGACAGAGATGGAAGCTATTCCCAGCTTGGAGGCTGAGCGTTGCTCAATGTGGAAGAATCTTGCAGCAGACATGCAGCAATAACTGATACGGTGTCTAGAGGATTTGTGCCACTCCTCGGGCCAATCTTGGGAGTCACCTATCATATGGAAACCTGCAATGATACAAAGTAATACACAGGCATTGCAGGTACATATGTTATGCCTATTCATTAGATCTCCATCGTCATTTCCAATTACCGACTTTCTTACGAGTCGTGAGAGCAAACTCTTTTTCCCTTTTGTGGTCTAGCTTGGTTTGCAGGCACAGCCCTAGAAGCTTCTGGGATCTGTGGAAGCTCTTTCCTGCATTTTCTTTGCCTTCCATCGTACACTTTTTTTATTTGCTGGCCTTGGGGTTCTTTGTCCGCCAAGAAATGGTCAACCCAATGTAGATTTCCCAATACCAAGTAATGGTTCAAATGAACCAAACCCTCCGTCTCCGAACCACGAGTCCACAAAGACAAATTGAGCACGACCTAGACATTCATGGAAATCAATATTGAGACTCAGGTTCACATTCATACTGCACACTGAAAGGAGTAAGGCTTTGCTCTTTCCTGGTCACTATTACCACTTGCAAGCTTCGCGATGAGATGGGCTGGTATGTTCGCCGAGCGCGAGTCGGCCAGGCGACCATGCGACCAGAATTTTGCTCAGATGAGAAAGGGGATAGGTTATCCCTGGGTTGCAGTCCCTTTGTCGTTCTGGTTGTGCACGCCGCGTGGAAATGGAGCTACAACATAATCAAGCGATCGAGAAAGTAACCTTGAAGTCTCACCCGCATCGACCAAATCTCGGGCTCGGTCTCCCCAGGTCTCGACCATAGCTGCTGCTTTCTCTCATCGGCTCACTGATTCCCATATAATCCTTGCTAGGGTTTGCCGGGAGTCCTTAGCATGTGGACTAATATTCCAGATTATCGGAAGCTTAAATAGAAAGGATCTCGTTATCGGGAATGTGTGTGTACTGATAAAACCCACCATTTCGAAATTAACGTCACCACTAACTTGCCCCGGGTGGATGGTTGAGTATTCTACCTGTACTGTGTGTGTTGAGTATGATTTCTGCATGTATTTATCATGCAACCTTGCTCTTTCTTTATATCCCGGCTGCTTCCGAGAACACGGTCATTCGATCAACTTTCCAAGATTGTCCAAGTGAGGGGTAATAAAACAAAAAGACACATGCCTGGAGGTTTGGGAAATCTGGGGAAGCTCTTTTTCTCCACCCTCTCCACCTTCTCCACCTCTCGTCATCCTTCACTCTTCCATGACATGTACATACCTAGGTACTCATGCAATGAAGCCAGGCTCATTAGCTTATCTTCCTTCACTCCCAGTTGAGCTGGTCGAGTTGGTTACAGGCATCCTCGAAGCAGATGGCTTATTAGCCCTACGTCTAGTCTGTCGTGGGCTTCAAAGGAAAACGTTTCATCACTTTGCGCAGCGGTTCTTTTCATCCATCAAAACCGACCTCTCTGGAGAAAGTCTAAGCCGTATCAATGCTTTGTCGCAGAATGTTGCCTTGTGTCCTTACGTCAACGGGTTGGCCTTCATGCTTCAAAATGGTGTCGGTCGCGGTTTGGTTTGGGACCGACATCCATGGGGTCCTATCTCCGCTCCTCTAGAGGTCGAAGCGATTCGGTCTCTGCGTGATAATCTGATCCAGAACTTGACTAATTGTCGTTCATTCTTTATTTTTTGTCGATACCCAGAGGGTCATCCGGATATGAGCCATGTCACTATTACTGATGCTGTCGCCGTGTTCTTTGCCCTGGTCGTTGATGCTCGTCTGCCAGTTTCATCGTTCCATCTCATATATGCCAATAAGTACTCGCGCACCTTGATCATGGACATGCGTCGTCTTCCCAAGCTTCTCTATCGCCAACCCGAGTTCAAGCTTGTGTGGGCCAATCTACAAAAACTCTCCTTGGAACAATATCTCACGTTGGATAACTTCGGCTTCCTGCTTGAGCTGGTTCTTAGCGCTCCGAATCTTCGGACCCTCCTGTTAAACGTTGGCTCACACGACTTGGCATCTGAGTTCATGCATGAACTGGCTGAGAGTGCCACCTTTCCTCAACTGCGCGAACTCGGCTTGTTTCGAACATCTATGCGGGGCCCCGATCTCCAGAAGTTACTCGCCAATATTCGCCCAAACTTGATTTCACTTACATTATACCATGTTTCTCTAGCGCCAGGAAGTGATTGGGCTCCTTTTCTCGAGGAGTTAAGTCAGGGTTTTCTGGGCTTGCAAAGTATCTCGCTGTATTGTCTGTGGGCCAGTACGCCTGCTAAAAATCTCCTAACCTTTCCGGACATTCCAAAGACACCATCACTGTGCACTTCGAAGGGCCACCATCTCAACGTATTTTACTCTGAAGATCTCAAAGCTCCCACTGTCCTCGGGATTGACTATTCTGGGTCGAAGATTTCACATGTGTTGAATTTATTACGGACAAAGACTGAAAGACCTTGCTCACATTAGGGAAGGTCGCTTCTATGTGATTTTTGTACATTTTACATTCTGACGCGTATTTTTATCCTGATTCTTTTAACTATTTTTCTTTTGGGCACACCTGAGAAACTGTGATAAATATCTGCTTATAGGGTTCTGTTTTGACATATGTACATAGTTTTTCGAAATTTGTATTTTCCTATCTCCCCTTCTACACTAGGTATAAAATGTGTTTTAATTTCTAGCTTAAGGCTGATCGAGGTGATGTTGTGGTTCTTTATACTGCAATACCACTGTATTTAATGAACATTGTTTTCCAAATCTGGAAAGCCTTTATATATCCAGTAAGCTGCAAACTTCTTCATTTGCAAGCAATATATTGACTCTCAATAAAAATCCACATCACCCACTAGACTAGATAGAAGACTTCGTGAGATTAATTCACATCCTGAGCCTCGACGGTCACTTTCTCCACATTTCTTCCAGTGATTTCGATCAGAGTATTCTTGATATCTCCTTCAAATGCAACAGTCAACCGCAGCTGTTCTTTCGGCCAAAGAGTTACATAGTTGTCAGACCAATAAAGCGGTGCAATCTCCTCATTTTCGGAGGTATTGATAGCATTCAGACGAATGAAAACTGCCGGTCCTGCAGACTGGTTTTCGAGCACGACCTCGGCATGAGTCAAGTCATCGTCTGTTGGAGACTCCACGCTATGTAGTGAAGCCTTCAAAGTAGCCGGTTCCAGTGTCTCCAGCCTGGTGTATTTGGTAAACTTAGTAACTGGTGTGGTGTACCAGTTAGACTTTGACCAGTCCAAGACATCTGTGGTAGGAGAGAGCCAGTAAACATTACGGCTAAGGACAGCTTGAGATTTTGAATCGCTGAGCGTAAGACGGAGGAAGCCAATATCTTTGACTTTCTTAATTCCGGCAAGCGAACCCACCACCTTTGAGGAATGGGGTGTTGTGTTGCTCTCCACTGTAGCTCCGGATAGTTCTTTTCCATTTGCATCAATGAAGTCTACCTTGATTTGCCGATTTCCGCTCTCATCAAGTGAGTGGTTAATGAGCCAAATTTCATGGCTCTCATAATCGTAAGCCACGTGTTCAGTACGTGCTCCAACCTTCGTGCCGAAGTAGGCTGCCATAGGGCTGAGATAGTAATCAAACAACTGCCAGTGCAGATTTGGCCAGGCACTGTTTAACATCCAATAAATAACACCCGTAGCAGGACGTGTGGCATTTTGCTTCGCTCCATACGCTTCAAACTGGACTCGAGTAGCCTCATAATCTGCCATCTGACTTTTGAGGATGTAGTCCTCCAGGCTGGTAGGCTTTCCGTATCGGGCAAAGAGAGCCTTGTTGTAGATCTTCCGGTTGTAGAACTGCGAATCATAGCGGGACATATGATATTGCTCTGCATTTGGCTCTTTCCAGAGTGTTTCCAGCTCGGCATCAGTCATGAACTTTTTCAAGCTCCCCATCTCGGGGGTTCCAACTCCTGCACCCAATTCAGATCCAAAGCCAAATACTGCTCCTTCTTTGTCGTTGTACCAATAATTCGGGGGTACCCAGTCGTATGGGCCATCCATATTCATTCCAGATGATCCAAGAGCTTCGGGATAACCGCGCTTGCTGGCCGACGCAATGGTTGGGTTGGGCCAATCCATAACTTTGAGCGCATCTAAGTAAATCTTGGTCGCCTGCTCATCTGGCCAGAAGTCTGAACCAACCAAAAACCCAAGCATCGAAGCATGGCTTTGCATCATCTCTGCTTCGTGCAGCATTGCTGCCTTCGCAATCGGGTAGTCTTCTTTCCCCCATTTGACACCGACGGCATCCTCGTTATACTGATATTTCTTTTGTCAGTGGTCTGGCAACTTGGGTAGAGTATTGAGAATGCTTACGGTCCATCCTTCCCATTTATCACAACATTCCCATCCTGCGAGGACCATCATCCCCATTTCATCAGCGAGGTCATAAAGCTCTGGGTGCTCCTGTTTTCCCTCCAGGCGCACGGTATTGAGCCCCATGTCCAGCATGTAGGCGAAAATCGTCTGTACCCTATCAATATCGAATCGCAAAAAGATGTCCGGCCCATATCCAGCTCCGATCACTTGGAATGGCTCGCCATTGACAGAGAATTCGGTATCATTGTGCTTGTTCAATTTTGATGACACATGACGAATTCCGAATTGTTGAGGATTTGAACTATCTGACACCAACTTCTGAGGTTTCTGAATGATGGTGCTGGCCTGTACTGTGTATAAAGGCTGCTCACCCCAAAGAGCAGGCCACCAAATATCAGGGTCCTCGATCGACACACTTATAGATACCGTCTTTTCTTCGTTTGGCTTTAAGTCAAAAGTCTCGCTAAATTGCACAGTTTCGGAGCCATCTGGCCCTTTGACAGTGCCTTTGATCGTCACCTGATGACTACCTGATTCGTGGTTGGTCAAATCAGTTCGAAGTGTGACCTTCACCGGCCCAGAGGTAGAGTGAGTAAAATTGGTGAGGACGCGGAACGGCGACATCGAGACCGCACCAGTCTGAGAAATCTCCACATTTCGCCAAACGCCGGTGCCATTGTCGGCTGGGTATGGGTTCCAGTCCACAAACCCCTGGGCAAAATCACGAAGATAGTTCGTTGGGTACGCACGAATGAGAAGACAATTGGCTCCATCCTCAATATGCTCGGTCACGTTGTACTGGTGGCCGCCATAGGCGCCTTGCTGCTGGTCACTTGATGCAATGAGCACTCCATTCAGATAGATGTCTGCCTTCGATGTAATTCCGTGTGTCTTTAAGGTAAAATATTCTCCCGTGGATGGGTTCAATGTGAACTCTTCTCGATAAAGCCATGGTGCGTTGAACGTGGAGGGATCAGCGGCAGATTCCATGTTGTCCGAGTAGAATAAGTCTGTCTCGTTGTATACCCCGTTCTCAATAAGCCCCGCCATAACAGTGCCACGAGCACCAACTCGATACCATGATGAGACATCCTTTCCTGGTGAAGAGAGTACATCCATCTCACCTGATACTTTGGTCGACGATTGGAGGTACCATCCTGGGATAGTAGCAATGTCACCAGTAGAGGCGACAAGGGGTTTGGAGTCGGTAGCCGCTACACAAGCGCCAGCACTGATGACCAGTGCTATGCACAGTTTACTCATATTCTTGAACATGATCATTTATCTGCTCTGGAGGCCAACGGTGATGCTGAGCTCGTATCGCAAGAATACATGCGACTGCTTGTTCCTTTAAAATATAAAATCCACGAAGTGGCGTTGAGAGGAAAGTAACACTGCGTCACGCGATGGAAGCGACCGTGTGATTATATGCATATATTGTTTTGTTTGGATTATATTCTCCGACGACCTTTTGGGCTAGGACTAGTTAATACGGGCATTTCGGCAAACATGCAATATTTCCCGGTTCTGTGTAGGATCACTAGTGGTACTTCCTAATAGAGTTGCTGAGAAACTTCAGCGTCCGAGCTGTGAGAGTGATCGGAGTTCATTTCTCTTCCGATAACGAACTAACCATATTCCTATTCGGGCCTTACCTATTAATCACGCTCTTGTATTCTTAGTCCTCTTGGGATTAATTTGTGGGCGTTAAAACCTGTCGTGCAGATCTCTTGGTTGTATCGAATCCAAGGTCTGAAATAAAAAGGAATGTCAAATTGCAAGGTTGCATACATGGGATGATAAAGATTATGTAATCTAGCTTAGTCATTAACCGCACAGAAACAGCAGTTTCTATTATGTAGAAAATGCAGAGTTCTCGATATTAGCCCTGAGGTCCATATATTTCAATACGTCAGATTTCTGTCAGTTATGAGCCCGGCTTTGTTCTATTAAACATCAATTCAAAGATCAACCCTGCTTCTATCGATACTAAGGTAGTCAAAGTGATAGAAAGTCATCTACCTAGCGACGAAGCAACCCCTAAATCGAAGAAAAATCGGAAATCTATTATTAACAAATCATAGCCGATTATCTCTCCGCGGGTCCATCCTCCCGCGTTATCCTTAAGGACACCGAAACTTAGGATATATAGATCGCTAATATCGAATCGATTGTAGTATAATTTGACGTTTAGAAGCTATATAATCCTAGTAAGGAAAAAGAACCGGAGATACGGAAAGCTCCGGTAGAGATCATATCGATTAAAAAAGCGGAGAAGAAGTATAGCGATAAATAGGTCGATACTTATAAAGTGATTTAATTAAACTAGTCGATAAAGAATACGCTCTATACCTAAGAAAAGAAGGGGTTAAGTATAATTATAACGGTAATCTAGAATAGCGTTTACGTGAACTTCTAGCCGTTTATTATAGACTATAAGACTCTATATAGTCTACTCCGAAACCTTCGAGAAAGGTTTATCTCGGAGTATAATCCGACCTATTCTACTAGGCTCCGTTAATAATAGAGAAGCCTAGATAGAAGGTTAGATAAAAATATAAATATTAATAAATAGTTATTAAACTAGGAGATAGTTTAATCAAGCTATAAAAGAGTAGGAATGCTAGAAGCAAATAATACTTCGACTTAGTTCCTTAATGCTATCTTAGTGATATTACCTAGATTCTACGAGATATAGACTCTAAGACTATAAGACAAAGAAGATATCGGATTTACTAAGCTTCTTAACCGGTATCGAGCTTACTAGAAGATTACCTATAGTAAGCTAGTTGCTAATCAAAGGGGTATTTCTAAAGCTACTTTTTCGATATAGTAAGGCTATAAAGAAGTAAAGCTAGCTAAGACAAAGATAGCTAAAGAACTACCGTTTAAATTGAAGCTATATCTATATAAATAGAACTATGGACGATACCTACCTTAGAAGTGTTAGGACGTCTTTAATAAGGACAAACCTTCTAGGTATACTAGAAACAAAGAAGCTAAGTAGAAATAGGAGAAAGCTATAAAGGCTAACCCTACTTAGAAGGCCTAGGTTGATAAGAGACGTTAAGAAAACCTAGTACAATAGGGGAAGGCAGCGTAGTAAGCAAATGCTACC